CGTGATGCTCCCGGGACCAGTCGGGAGATTTTGCTGGACTGCACCTCGAGTAGTCCTTCCTCACCTCCCATCATCCTCATCCTCCTCCTCCCCGTAGTGAGGGTGCTGGGGAACCCCACCTCCTTGCACGGCACCCCTGTGGTCCCGAGAATGCTCGTGGTGACTGTGATGTTGGAATGTGTGAACGTGGCTTTGTGTTAGGGAGCCGTGAGCATGACGGGGCTGGGCTCCGTTGTTTTGGGCTGTGCACATTCACACAGCCCCATCGCTGCAGGAGGCGATGCAAAAGCAGCAGGTAGGGGCTGAAACGGTGGGGCTGGCCACAGAGAAGAACGAGGCACCTTCTGGGTAGAAGGAGGACATGTTCCTCAAGCTTTGGCTTGTGTTCTCTGTGGTTCAAAGGGCATCTCCAATTTTAGCCACTTCTTTCAGCTGATTCACTCCATAGTTCTATTTCTGGCTCCCTTGTCTCTGCCCGGACCCACTGAGGACTCTTGATTGCGACAGGAGAAACCTGGCCAGTATTCAAGTGATTTCTTTAACTTCTGCCTGGCGACGGACGAGCTCCTTGCGCCATTTACTCCCCTAAAACTGGCAGTGGGGAGGCTGCTCAGTGGGAGACCCCCTCCGTGCCCCCTCAAGCCCCACAACCCCTTGCCTGCCCGCGGATCAGCCAGGTCCTGGAGCAGGAACGTCCCTCTCTTGTTTGTTTGCTGCTAGGTCTCTGCTCTGCTCCTCGTCCTGGGGCCGTGACTCACAACCCCATTGCAGACCCGTTGCACCTTAAGCCCTTCTGGGCTTGACTCTGGAATGGGGCAATGTTAGAAATCCAGCCAGGAGACAGGATGCAGCAGAGGACCCCCCCCAACACCCCCCAAATATCTGTTCCCTGCCTCAAAATCGTTGATAATCTCCCTTCCCCACCACGTTGTGCTGCCCAACCTCTTCCTCTCCATGTTCCTCTGTGGTTCACCTCATTGCTCACTGAACAAACAGCGAGACCACCTTTGGTCTGCATCTTGGAGACCTCTTTATGGATTTCCCCTCCTTTCCTCAGGGGGAATTTCCCAGAACTCAACCCCAAAATGTGTCACCCTTGGGGGAACCTTCTGCTCAAGGGAGGTCTCTGGGCATGACGAGACAAGCTAGCACCAAAAGAGGTGGGAATAGGCTACATTTGGCAGTCTGAACTGGTGCCAAGAGGCAGCCTGGTGTAAATACTCAATGTGACTATTCATTGTGTCCTAACAGCTCTAGAGCTCCATTTGTAAAGCAGCAGAGAAATGCAAAATTGTGTCAATGGATGTAATTTATATTGTCTCTTTAATATATAGAGCCCTGGCATTGATCTCGTGTGACTGTACAGATGAAGAGATGTAATTGGTTTTTAAGTGTTTAAGGAAAGAAAAGTAACAAACATACAAACAAAACAAAAACAAAAAAAAAAAGATGTGTTTACTACTTTGCTCCTTGCTTTGTTTGCTGGTGCCCCAGGTATTCTGTTTAGGCAGATTTTAAAATAAGGATATCACAGTTTGGCAGCACTGAGGAGACCAACCACTGGACCCCGCGGCATGGGACAGTTCGGCTTCCCGAAGCACTAATTGCTCAGCCAGGCTGATTTGGACTTTTTGTTTCCCATATTAAAGAAAAATCCAAATATTTGTCTCTTGAAATTCAAAACCCAAGTTTTGAAAGCCTAAATTTCTCACTGGCTATGGGGAAACACTTGTTTCTTGCCATATTACCCCACAGATAACAGCTACTGTGCAAAGCATCCCCTCTGAAGACACGCTGCTTCGCAAACGGGATCTAAGCTGGCCAAGCCACAGCATGCCAATAAGGCCATCCTTCCCATAAGACCTCCCTTTCCTATAAAGCAATCACCCTCTTACACATTTGCTGTGGCTCGGGGGTAATTTAAAGCCAAGGAAATTATATTTGATTACCACATGGCTCAGTGCCACTGTCCAGGTGAGCGCTCCAGTGGTGGTCGGCTGTCGTAGGGTGGTTGGGGTATCCCTATTTTAGAAGCAAACAGTGAAGCACTTTATTTTGGTTGTGTTTGACCCAGTTCTGGTTAAAGGTGAAGTGTGGCCAAGAAAGACCCGATACTTGGAAACAAAAGAAATACCTAGGTAAAGGGGGGACGTTATGAGAATGTCCCCCACCTCCTCCCTGCGTTCAGACCCACGGGAGTGTCACCACGTGTATATACTGTAAATTATTTATTGAGAGAAATGCAAGTAAAGTTTGAGGTTTTTTTGACAATAAATTAGTGGGTCTCGTTTTGTTCCCTGTGTGTTGTATGGTGCTGTTCACCACTCGCTGCAATTGCTATCCCATTTCTGCATTCTCCCTGAAGCAGCTTGCTTCAGTCCAAAGACACTTTGACAGCTCATCTCTGTCCAAAAACTCTCATAATTTTGCTCTGGGGTTTTATTTATTTACAGCCAAATGAGAAAAGGGGATGGTGCGGAACAACTATAGCTAATAAACCATCTGAGCCTGCCTCTCTGGGTAATGAAAGGAGCCAAGCCAAGCAGGGTGCCATGGCCCTGCCCCTCCCTCACGCATCGTTCTTGGCTCCAGTCGGGTTTGGTAGTGCCCTCTGATGAGGGAAACCAAAACTGCACTTCTCTGGTTCATTTTCCTCTTTGAAAAGCTGACCTGCTGCCTGATCCAGCAGCAGGGGCTGGGAGGCTGCGAAAGCCGGGTGGGATGTGGGCACGGGCTGAAGACACGCACTATTTGGGTAAATTCACACAAAGACATTGAGCACCAGAGATCTGAGAGAGAAACACAACCTTGCTCTCTGTCAGAGCCCTGAGCAGCTGGCAGGGGTTGGAAAGGGCATGGGAGGCAAACCCACCCACTCAGCCACCACTTGCAGCAGCTCCCAGGAGCTCAGCAGATGGGACAAGGGGTTGGTGCCCCCCAAGTGGCCAAGATGCTCCCATCCTTGCTGCTCCTGTGCGGCGCTGAAGCTTGCCCACGAGGTGAGCAGCAGCAGGAGGCACAGGCCGTGCAGGGACACCATGCACAGGGGCAGCAGTGACCCTGCCAAGGGTTCCTACTGGTTCTAGGTGAAACTTGCAGGCTGAAGCTCTGCAGTCAGGGAGGACACAGCCATAATCCCTGTGGGCAGCTCCTTGGAGCTCCAGATTGGGGCTGGGGCCATTCCTAGAGGAGGGTCGTGCCAGCTCAGCTCCAGGCCTGTCCCTTCCTACTCTTCTCCCATCCAAAGCACAGCATCTCATAGAGAAAAGCTGCTCAATTCCCACAGCCTGCTGTCTCGGGCACGGTGTCAAGCCCCGTTTCAGCTGTGCCTGCCCATCCCCAGGCCCCAGGCTGGGATTTCGGCTGCTCCGAGCTTCACGTCCCGCTGCTGGGGGCGAGCAGCCCACCACGGCCACCCACGGGCCTGGCAGCCCTTCGCACGCAGGTGGCTGCGAGGAACCACAAGCACAAATATTGTTCAGCGAAATATAGCTTTTCTCTGGGAACCGGCTGCCCTCTAGAGGGTCCGCTCTGGCATGGCGTGAAGCAAAGCCGGGGCCTTCCCGGCCTCCCTGCCGCCATGAGGCAGGGCTGGGGGTCCTGCTCCCACAGCGGCGCGATGGCTTTGCTGGCCACCCTGGGCGATGGGTCCCTTTGCCAAAAAAAGCCAAGCGAGCTGGCAGGAGGCTAAAAACCAAGTTTTAGCCTGCATCATGCAGACACAGCCCAGCCCCAGCCCTGTCCTGCCCAGCACCCTGGGATGGCCAAGGTCTGTGTCCTCATGGAGGAGATGCTCCTGTGGGACCACCCGCAGGACTTTGTGACCTGTGTGGGTGTCCCTTCTAATTCGGGATATTATGTTATCAGACCTGCCTGACTGGGAGATACAGGGGGTTGTATCACACCAAGGGATCATTTCTCCTTCGGCTTGCACAGGCACTCAGGGTTTAAGTGTTCACAGCACGGTGCTGATATCCCCAGCATACGAGTGCCACACGCATGCCCCCCATGCCCAGATCCTTACCTGCCCCATTGCTCTGGCTTGCCAGGCCCATGGCTTCTCCACCTTTCCCATGGGCACCCCTGCGTAAGAGATAAGCCAACGCTGAATTAAAAAGATCCCTGTCTCAGGTGCACTCACACCGCTGTGCTCCAGGCAGGGACACCAGGACCAGCACCCCACAGCCCCCACACCAGGGCCTCCCCCCCACCGAGCCCCCTCTCGCTGCCACAGCTGACAGCCCTCACTCTTTCCATTTGGAAACCCATTTTTCAGGGGCACATAACTCAGCTGTGAAATTTCACTCCCGGCAAAAACTTGGCTCGGTTCAGCAGCAGAGAGGCTGGAGAGGGCTGGACGTCGTGGCTACAGGTGTGAAAAGCAAAAGCCCTTTTTACAATGAGCTCTTATAACTTGGGAGAAATGGCTTCAATCCCTGCACTGTGCCTTGCCAGGGGCCAGGTTACGTGTGGGCTCAGAATGAGCGGGTGAAGGGGGAAAAAATCAAATCCAGCAGCCTGTGGGATGCCATTGCAACCCACCTGGGGAGAGGTGCATCCTGCCCAGGAGGTGTGGGGAAGGAGCAGAGAACTCCACCGATGCACTGGGAACAGGGAAAGGGGAATTCTCCCAAGAAAGGGTCAAAAAGAAGTTCACACATCCAAAGAGATCCAGAAGAGTTGGAGGTTGGATACACACCGCTACCATCCGGGGTGGAAATCAGTGAGGAAATGCTCAGTTTCTCCTGATCAGGTGGAAATTCCCATCCGAAGCGGGTTCCAAGTCTGGATCAGCCCTTTATCACCGCAGACTGCAAAATTATGTAAAACAGCTGAGAAGAACATGCTTATTCCTGCACAGTGAAAATACCCATCCTTACATGCCCAGGGCTTGCAGGAAAGGGCCCCACGATCCTGTGACAACCCCAGTTTTCGGCACCCACCCCATCATAGGCAGGGGCTGCAGGACAACCCCCAGACACACCACACTGGCACGGTTCTGAAAATCTCAGGAACACTTTTTAATATACAAGAATCAAAAGTACAGCAGTTTTACAATGTAGGAAAATTTAATACATACTATATAAACAACATATTTACATCAGAAATCACTAGGACAGTGGCATTTTTTTCACAAATATAAATTAATATTAATTACTGTTTTTTTAGTCAACAGGTTTAAAAGTCCACATTTTTACAGTAAGAGTCCTTCTCTCCCCAGAGGGGAGGTGGAGGTCGGGAGGAAGTGAGTGAAAGCAGAATAGTATTTGTGTGTGGATCACTTAAACTGTTCACGTAAGGGCTTCAGAGAGTTGTTAAGTACCCACCCTGCTTGGGCACTGCATCACCTGTCTGCAGCAGGTTTTGGTCTGCAGGATTTCCATCATCTGAATTCAAAACGTTACGCCATTTCCAAAGGGGTCAGGCTGAAAAATTCTTTTAAACAAAGAAAGAAACAAAAAACCCACAGCATTTTGCTACTTTCTCCTGCGAAGAGGCTAGAGGGAACCCTGCAACTGGCTCAGAAGGAAGAGCTGTACCAGGTGCTGACACAGACACTGCAGTAACATTTTTGGCTGTGGACCTGTCCCCTCCAATCCCATTCATACCCAAGTGACTATGTCAGGTTATGGTCCCTATTTTGATGGGACATAAAATGTGCACGCGTGCGTGTGCTTGGGGAGGACTTTCCCCCAAATTGAGTTCTCCAGCTTTATTAAAGTCCAACCCAGTGAAGACCCCCACCTCGTGAGCAAACCAAACTAGGTTACTGTTCAGTATCAGGCCAATGTGATAGTGGGGACCACTCTTTGCTGGATATAGACAAAGTTTTCACTGTTGCACTGGTTTCAAGAAGGAAACCCCAAACCACCTCACCCCTGTAACACAGGACGAGCAGAACACCTCACGTATGGACACAGAAAATGCCTCCCATTGGGGTTTGGCTTTCCTGCACCAACCATAACACTGGTCTGGCCAGTATTGCCTCTTGCTACAACTTGTATGGCACAAACTTTCCATCACGATAGCACCACGTTGTGAACGAAAAGAGCAATTTCTCTTCGCCCCTCTGAGGTTTCTTCCATTTTCACATTAAACGCTAATACCTCTGAAAAGAAAGGACCTCTTTGTTGAATACCACAGCAAGCGTGCCTGCAATCACAGCTCGGTGAAACACGCGGCGTTAACAGGCTATCTCAACACCTCCTTCCCCCCGCCAGCCCCAGGGGCCCCATGGAAGACTTGCCTTCACCGCCTCCTGCGCAGATGAGCACAAGCATAACACTTACTTGGGGCAGCGCAGCGCTGCCCATGCTGGTTCCCCCTCTACAGAAGCAAAACTGCTTCTGGGGAGTTTGGTGATGTCTGGCGAAAGAAGAATAAAATACAGGCTCTGGTGTCCCAGAGCCACGACTTGATGTCTCTATATCCACGCTGAGCTTGGCTCCAAGAGGCCTGGTGCTTGCCCAGCACGGGGTTGTGGCTCCTGCTAAAGCATCACGGTGGTGCTGGGCGCTGTTCCGAAGGCGCAATGGGACACAGCAGCAGGCTCCGAGCAGGGTGTGCACGCTGTGACTTCAAGGGACCCAACTCCTTCGGCTCCGGGCAGAGGGGAGAGGCAGGGGATTAGTGTCAATTTGTGTGCGCCTTCCAAAGCTGGTTGGAGCGGGGAAGCCAGCCCTCAACACCCCTCAGTCTTTCAGGGAAAGGACATCACAGCTTATTAGGGTCATATACTGGCATCTTAACAGGATCCCCAGCTTCTGCCCCCCACCAAGAAGAGCAGTCGGGAACGGCCTGATCTTTAATACTGAGCTCCAGGAGATGACGCATCCCCAGACACTGTGCTCTGGGCAGCCCGGCTGTTGGGAGAGCTTTGTAGTCTGCAGGGACGCGACTCTACTACCCAAGACCTCGAACCTAAAAAGAAATCACCCACTTGACTTCTGGCCAGCAACCTGTGCATAACCGTTTGCACCATGCCACCAGCTGGGCACTGTTCTGCATCAGATGCAGTGACTCGAACACTTGGAGGAATGTTTGCTCTGAAGCCCACCGAGCTGGGCTGCAAACCCCTCTTCTCCCTCTGCTACGCTGGGCTTCTAAGACGTGCTCCAGGGATTTTTAAGTACCTAGTGCTGAATTCCTCATTTTCTCCCTGCTCACTTAAGTGCTAAGCTCCCGGGTACGTTTTCAATTCAGACAGACAGCAGTAGCAGTGCTGTTACTTTCAGAAATTCAGAGCTACTGCTGAACAGTGGCAGGAAGACGACAGGCGACAATTCCCCGGACAGACACCAGTCTCTGGATTCCCATTTAACTCTGCTCTACCACCCCTTACCTTTCAGCTGTAGTACAGGTTTGTGATCACTGTTTTGTGAAGCACAGAGAGAAATGCCCAGAAACCAGAGTACTTCAGTGGCAGGGAGAGTAGGAGCTTCAAGGTCCCCAGATGCCCAGAGCCATCTTTTGTCCTGGTACCTTGCAGCTCCCAGCTAGCATCTGTGTTAATGCCTGGACATCCAAGCCGCCCATGTCAGAAGAGAAGAAGAGTTTTGTTATGAATTCCTGAGCCCTGTCCACTGGCAAATACTGCTCTCACCCCATTTTCTTTCCTAGTCATTAGAAGTGAACTTAGCTTTTGCTAAAGAAGTCTGTCTTTCTTCACATATCCCAAAGACTCCCAGAGTCAAGACTTGACAGTTCCAGCCCTGGATCCCCCACCCCTCGTCTGCTGCAGGGGACGCAATGGCAGTCAGAGCAGTTTCTTGAAATGGTTAAAGACATGAGAAATGACAATGTGGCCAGAAAAGTGATGGATTGTCACCAGCAAGGCTCCTACTCCTTTGGAGTCACTCTGAAATGACACTGAGCCCCTCTTTCAACCAAGCCCTGTGACAGCAACAGCTTGGCTGCTGAGGGACCCTCCTGGAATATGTCCTCCCAGTGGCCTGTGCTGGTTACACACAAACCCCAGCCCAACCAGTTTATCCCCAATCCCAAAGCAGCATCTGTCATGTAACATCAAGTCAGCGCAGGCACACGGCCTTCCGCACAATCCTAAGCAGCAGCAATCCGCCTTCTTGGTTTTGGGGAAACACTGGGGTTGGGGAAAACTCCCTTGCGCCCATCGGACTGGGGGAAACAAAACCAAAGCAAAGAATGAGGCAGTAAGTCTGGTTCCAACGTTCAATGGGAGAAAGGGGGGAAAGGAAATGGGAATCCAGAACAGAACTGAGAGCGAGGGAGAGTCTTCCACCTGCTCCCCCAAAATCCTCCTTGACCCAGCAAAGATGATAGCAGCATGTTCCAAGCTTCTGGCTGTTGCATCAGACCAAGTATTTTCAAGACGAGAGCTTTTCCCCCTCGGTCACTTTATGTTTTCCGAATGTTCCAGTTATAATCTGGATTGTTTTTCTGTTCTAACGACCTATCCAGAGGTGACCTGTGATCGAGGGGCGACTTGGAGTCGTGAGGAGATTTCTGAGAGGGGGGCGAGCGAGGGTCCGACACTGCGGGGTGAGGTGGAGGGAGAGGCTGTTTGTAATCTCCCGATTTGTCTGTGTGGAAGGACCGGTAGTGGTCCGAAGGTCCTTGGCCATGGTATCCCATGGGTGGCCTGTGATCAGACATCCGTCGGAAATCCTGCTGGTGGTAATTCTGAGGCCTGAACTCATCGGATCGTCGGCGCTTGGAGTCGTGGTGGTGCCTGTCGAGAGAATATGGACGGATATGAGGGAATGGATGGATTGGATGGACAGAGATCAGCTCCCCATGGAAAGCCTGTCCACCACCGCTGGGTGTATCGATGTGAACTCCTCCCACCCTTCCCGAGAGGAACGAGAATTACCTGTCATAATAATCTCGGTGGCCTCTGTGGTCTCGATCACTGTTGTACTGTTCATAGGGCCTCTTGCGGGAGAGGTTATTTGGTCTGTAGTTCCCAGAGCTTCGGTGAGGGTCTCCACGAGATCGCCGGTCCCCGTAGTGGTGGTCCTTGTACCAGTGCTGCTCGTATTGGTGGTGCCGTTCCCCTCCCCACACCTGGTTGCTGTTGCCGCCGTAGTTGAACTTTCGATCTCGCTGCCAGTCTCCCCTGTCTGCAACGAGGAAAGCATTAATTAAGTGTCATTTATACTTTAGATTAAGCCCATTATTTCTGTGTTGAATTCTCAGAGAAATTATAACTATTACCATTGGAACTTTCCCCTCCCTAAGCTACGTGGACCTCATTTTATTCTTTTAATTCCTTTACCATTATTCTATCTGTCCAATTCTTAAACTTTTGACCTCTCCATCATCACATTTTCTAGTCCAGCAATAAGTACAGTGAAAAAACGTGTTCCACCTCCCCACCTTTAAACCTGACCAGCCACAAATCCTGGAATTATTTGTGTCCAGCAGCAAACAGCCCGTAGGTTAAGCGGGATGCTTTCTTCTGGTTCCCCAGGGCTCACCTGTGTTGCTGAAATGCCTCTTGTTGGGATGGCCGTAGTTGTCACGGGGGTGCCCATGCATCTGCTGTGGGGTGTGGGAGGGGGGCAGATGGAGCTTCTGGGAATGGGGATTGTGAGGCACGTGGGACTGGGACATCACAGAATCGCGGCTGGAGCCTGAAGGCTCGGGGCGGAACGGCTTCTTCATGCTGGACATGTCCTCCTTCTTCTTCTGCTCCTGCAAGGGGAAGAGAGGGTTACAGCTCAGCTGCTCTTCCACCAGAAGACTCAGACTAGGTGAGCAGTGGCCCAATCTGTCGGGCTCTGGGTTGGTCTGGAGATTCCCCAGGTTGTGGGCCCCCTCCTCGTCCTGAGGGCTTTGTCAATCAGCTGTGCCCAAGCATGGGCAAGTGCAACAAATTTTAAAGAGAGCAACCAAACGAGAGGGAAGGCACTTGAGATCTCACCTCCTCTTCCTGCGATCTTTTCTTATGAGCCATCTTGTAGAGTTTGTGCAGTTTTCTGGCATCAAATTCTGTGAACTTTGACACAAATATCCATAGGTTCCTGGAAGGACATAAACTTTTCCTGTTAGTTGCTACATGAGCTGTTCATCTGCCATCTGCTTTCAAACCAACATTAAATCACTTCTACCCTCCCTGGAAAACAGTCTCATTCCAGCTCAGGACAGGGTGTTTCAGGAGAGTTGGAACCAAGCCCTTTGAAGAAAAATAAAGGATTTTGCACCGGTTTCTCTAAACTAACTCTTAAATGAAAGAGCACAACTTGCAGACAAAACCCTCACCTGAGCCTGGTCAAGGACCAAGTGGGCTACAAAACATGAGATTTCTCTTTTAAAAGCATGTTAAATAAGAGGTGTCATTCACATAAAACACAGCAGCCTCCAACTGTCAGTTTTAGATACCACAGATCAGCCAGAGAAAACAGAAGGATCCCTCACCTCCTCCATAGCTTGATGAGATCCTGGTCAGTGTAGGCTTTAAGGCACTCAGAGATGCGGTCCCCGATTTTTAGGAGGCAGTTGCGTGTGTGCTCCAGCTGTTCTTGAACCGTCAGTCCCTTATCAGGCTTATCTAGTTGCTTCAGAGCTTTTTTCACCGGTCTCATCCTTTCCTTGCACTTGTAAAAGCAACAGAAAACAGAAAGTGATTCACTTGGCACAGTGCTCTGCACAGCTCCCTTGTTAATCAGACAGAGATGAAAGAAGTTTAATAGCATGAGATATTAGCTTTATCTGGCCATTAGGCAAGGAGGAATCAGCTATGAAAACAGCAATTTGTTAGACATGCTGCAGAAAATAATCGGGAAAAGATGAGTCTCTCCATCTCCGCTGTCCCCCAGCCTTTTAGAGGCAAAGGATTTGGTTTGCAAACAGTAAACGCATACAGGCTGCTCTTGCACTGAGTCTAGGGCAGGCAGGGAAGCAAAACCAAGCATCAACATGCTGAACGAACAGCCCCAGCTGAACGAGTGCTCTTAGGAGCCTCCCTGCCCACCCCCGTGTGTGTTCGCTTCCATCTACTGCTTTAACTGGGAGATGTGAGATGAAAGCACCTCCTTTTTCTGCTGCATGCATCAGCACTTTGCACAGACAGTAAATCAGACAGGTTTCTACTGCCTGACTGGACCTTCTGTGCACCGTGGAGGGAAAATAAAATAAAACAAACAAATAAAGATAACACAGGACCTACAGGGAATACACACATTTGAAATTACAGAACTGTTTTTTTAAATATGATATTTCAGCATTACCCTATGCAATCACGCGAAGGAGCATCTGCCATGACAACTTTCAATAAAAGGCTATTTTTACAACAAGCCTTGCAGGCACGTTTGCTGCGAGAGCATTTACACAGCTAGGGAAACGCTCACAGCTCAGACAACTCCGCACCGACTACACCATACAAGGTCACCCTCAAAACCCTCCTGTATTTTGCTGCCTAGAAGCTCCAGTGGCTCCTTGGCTCCTATGGCAGAGAGACTGCCACATAAGGCTGCAAGATCATCTGTAACCTGGGGCTGTCAAACGAGTGGTGGCAACTTGTCAGCTGAAGAAGAGAGCCCTTCTGCATGCTTTGTTGATGTGGTGCCCTCCTCTGCCCTGGCTGGCACCCCCTGGCAGAGACAGGGGACAAACGTGCGCACAAACAGCAAGCTGAATGTTGAAGAGAGCTATCTGAACCCTTTAGCCATGCAATTGCGTGGTGAGAATTGGGAGTTGAAGAGCTTTGAAATTTCTTCCAGCTGATGTGCTATGTACAGCAGGCAGCTGGTGGACAACTGGTCCAGCTGGTGGGCAGGTGGACAGCTCCAGGTCAAGGTTGTTCTGCCATGCTGTGCAACCAGCAAGAGGAAATTGCTGTCGGACACTACAAAGAGGTTTTCTCCCTGCCAAAGGATCAGTGTTGTGCACACACCTTGACACCTAAAACGCATCCTTGGATAAAGCACAAACAAACCCTGGCTGCTTTAGTGGGGGTCTCTGCCACTGCCATCCCATCTCCCAAGGAAAATACTCACTATGCTGAATGTTTCTTGGTCCAGATCATCGTCCTCATCTTCTCCAATGGGGATTGGTTCACTCCCTGCTGTAATGTGGACAGGACCTTGCGATCTCTTCCCTTTACTTCCAGATTTGGCTTCACCACCTTTAGGCTTTACAAGGAGAAATTACGCACATCACATGATGAGCCAGACTGACAGATCCCCAGTGATCCAACTAACAACCTCCACACTATTGATACTGGCAGTTATTAAACCCTGGGCACCGCTCCTACAACTTTCCTCCCAAGATCTCAAACTGTTTTGCTGTAATGCCTCTGTTTAGCTTTATGTCATCCCTGAGGGAGCAGAGGGAAGTCAGAGCCAACGTTTTGGACATGGTTATACTCATGGAGAGAAAAAACAGCACTGAAGACTTGGAAGAGAGGTTAAGCTAAAGAATATAAGCCCCTTGCAGAGGACAGAGCTCAGAGAAGTCTCATGTCTATGAAAACTTGCAACTTCATGAAATTCAGGAGGGCTGGAAAAGGAATAAGGTCTCGCCCCACAGTGCTTCATTGAGATCTCTTTACATAGGCCCTTTACCGAATCATAGGACTTATGGCTTGCCCTTCTGCTCAGAGACTTTCCTGTCTCTTGAACTGCTCCTGAAAATACTTCTTACCTTCTCTTTCTTGTCTTTTGTCTTCTTCTTCTCTTTATCACTTTCCTTTTCTTTCTTAGTGCTTGTCTGTTTTTCCTTGTTCTCTTTGTTCTCTTTCTTCTTCTGTTTCTTTTTCACTGGGCTCTTTTCCAAGCCATCCTCCTAGAAAATCAGTCACACCACAGTCAAAGTTGGAGTCCCTCAGCTCACATACATGCTCTTCCCCAAAACACGCATCCTTGAAAAGCAATCGTTTGTTGAGGCTCATCCAAATTTGCCCTCACACCTCTTTAACCAGACAGCAAGACTGGCACTGCAGTCCACCCAACTCTGAACAAAAGGGCATAAAACTTATACAAGCCCCAGTCTGTAACTAACTGGCAAACTGCAGATAAGCACCGCTTTCCTCTGCCAGTTGTGCTGGAGAACGCTCAGTCCATAAGGTAGATACTGATCAGAACATGAACAAAAAGCTTCAGACTACAAGCCAAACCACTCAGTGACAGGCAGCTTTCTAAGCAACAGCATGACCTTGGTAGACTCCAGCTTCACCACTGGCTGATGTACTGAAAAGGAGAGGGAAACAATTCTTCTTTCTCTCCTTTATAAGGGCAACAGGCTTTGTCCTGAGACAACCCTTCCTCCGAGTCAGTGTGTGGATGTGTGTGGCCGTTCTAGCATCCTCCCAAAACATTTACGGCACTAACCTAGAAGAGTGGGTGGGAAAGGTCCTTCCTTCACCCCCACAGGTGTATATATGTTTTTGTAAGTTTGCCAGTCTCCAGTGGGAACGCATTCTGTAGCTCCCCTTAACTCCACAGGGCATTCGCCAGCAGGGTGCTTCTCAAGTTGAGCCTCTGTAGTAGCAATATAGCTCAAGGAAACCTGGAAAAGCCACTATCCACCTTGACTCACCTTGACTTCACCCTCTTCTGACTGGTTGTCTGAGTGCCGAGGAGAGGAGAGTTCGTTCCCATGCTCATCCTTGACTTTGGGAGCCTTGTTCTCTTTCTTTACTCGTGGTTTCCTCTTCTTTAGCTTGCCCTGGAGAAAAGACAGGACAAGTCAGAGCAAGCAAATCACTACAGCTGCTTGCTCGAGGCATCCCCCTTCTGAACATCTCGCAACCAGCTGCAGGTCCTGCAGGGTGCCAGGAAGCCTGAAGAGCCGCAGGAAAGCCTGCTGGGCCCCATATGAAATTAGGTAATCAAATTGCAGCCAGCTAGAGGGATTGCCCGTGAGATTTGAGAGGTCAAGGGGGCATCTCAAGCATCTACAGACTGGTGCACACAGAACAATGACAATGAGGTGACAGGGCCAAAGCTCCCTGATTCCCCCTGTCACCACATATGTCATGGATATTTAACAGAGCACATCATGGTGCAACTCCCAGGTGGGAGAAAAGGAAGGCCAAATATATTTTAAGACAATTTATTCCAAGTTAATTTATGTCCTGTCTGAATAGCTTGAAGCACTTCTGGCTGGGAATTGAGGGAGTTTTCAACACCCAGTCTTGTCTATTCCATCTTTAAAAAAAAAAAAAAAAAAAAAAAAAAACTTTCCTAAACTGCAGCAGTATCCACTTCTCAGAAACTGCTTAAAGAAAAGGGCACAGTATCCCCTGCTTTCCCTCAGTGGTTCGCACACTCAGCTTGCACAGCCTTTTTGTAAGTGACCAAGTTGAAAATTTAACACGGGAATAGAGTCATACTGGAGACCTTCAGCAAGTGTAATAATTAATAACTTGTCCCCCATCGATTATCATTTCAGTATCACAGTGCAATCAGACAACAGACAAGCCCACGTTCTCTCACGTGAGAGACACTCAGTGGCCTGGCATCACAGCCTGTCTCACCTCCCACCACCAACCAACCGCTCGTCCTGAAAACCCCAGAATCATGCAGCCTCATCTCACCTCTTCCCCATCTTTCATGTTTTCTTTCTTGTCCAGATCCTTCTTCAGCAGTTTCAGTAGATAATCAACTCGGGTCTGGAGCTGTTTTCCCTGAGGTTTCTTATCTGTCTCAACAGGTAGGATCTTTGATAAAGAAGAAAAAAAAAATACACCCACATGCACCTATCAAACCTTGGTAAAAGAGATACACTATCAGCAGTCCCTCCAGATCCAGCAAATGCTTGGAGATGCTGCACCTCCAGGAAGGTTCAAGCATTTCTTCCAACCCGTGCACTCACACAGACTCTCCCTGCCTAGCCATAAGCAAAGCTCCAAGCCAGAATCCCTCCCCCTTGGCCTTTTGCAGGTAAAAGGACCACAGCTCTCTAGATTCTCTACAAACTGTTTTAGATTAGGGGGAGAAGGGAGGGAGCAAAATATATTTGGGACCTTGCATTGCGACATTGAGTCCATTCTCCTTGATGCATCAGATTTACTTGTGACAGCCTTGTCACAGCAGCCTTGTGCCCTCCGGTAGCTTGAGACATTGGTACAGCAATGATAGAGAAGAATTTTTATTGGAAAACGAGGCTGCAAGGTACCACTTTGTGGAGGAAGCACAGCAGCTCACCAGCTAAGGTTACCTTTTTATTTCATTGGAACTTGGGTGGCGTGTCTCAGGCAGTGAGAAAATTGCCTTTCTGAACTTCACGTAGGAGGGCTCCCAACCACAGTCTGATCTTTGCTAAAAGCACTCGGGGGGATGTCATGGGAATGCAGCATATTGGCAGCCAAGCAGATGTACAGTCCCAGTGTTCCTCAGCCTGATGCTGCAGTCCACCCTCCTTCCACTGTGCTGACACAATGGATAGCGGCTTATTTTTAACCTGGATCATTTCAGCATGGCCCCCATAAACAGCTCTTATGGGAATGACTGAGGAACAGAGGAACTAAATGGAGGCTTTCCAGCTGGCTTTGCTGCCAGAGCCAGTCGTGTAACCATACCCTCAAAGCTAACACAGACCGGTCTTGACATAAGCAGCGTCAAATCTGTGAAAAATTATTTCCACACAGAACTCAAGCTCAGCTTCTTGTGAGATGCTCAAGGAAATATCAAGTCACGATTATGCAATGCAGCCTCTATACCGTGCATGTAACCACATATGTCAGCATTACTGTTTTCTTCCTGCAGCACTTCAGTGTGGTGCATATGGTACCGTTCAGAGAAAATTTACTGCCAATCAAATAAGACAACTCTGCTTTCCATCAAGCATGCAGCATTCCGCAGAGGTCAGTGTTTTCCTCATTATTATTTATTATTATTTTTGGAGTGGTTACAAACATAAACATCTGTTTCTGGAGCAAATCAAACATGTTCTCTATGAAGACCATAATGGACCCAATGCAAGCAACATGCAAAGCAACCTACCTTATCAGATAACTTCAATTCCGGATCTGTTTTAATTAGTTCCCAGTTTCCATAACCATGCTCGTAAATTCCCACTAACAAGCGAGAATCCTCCTCCACTCCCCAGTCTACATCAAAATGGGCAGCTTTGACACGGCACGTCAGGCGGTACCTGAAGGCATTTCAAACATGAGCTACTTTTAATGCTGCGGGGAGGTAAAGCAAATCCACATATCTAGGCTAGTTTCTTTTGACCACAAAATCCAAATTCCCTGAGTCTCTTTCTGCCACTGCCTGCTTGACTATTCAAACTCACTTCTTTCTTTCCTCTGGGTCTGCGGGGATGGATTTGTGCAGCATTTCAAACTCCTCTTCATGCTGGATGATGGATTTCACGTTGACTTGGACACCAGAGATCTTGATAGTAGGACCTCTTCTTTTCCCAGGTCCTTTCCCTGCTCAGTAATAAAACACAGCAGCTAAGAGAACTCTTACAGAAAGAATGTTTATGTAAAGAAAAAAAAAGTCAGACATACAGAGATCAACACCTTGCTCCAGATTCCTAAGGCCATCTGCTGAGGTAAGCCCCCAAAATTAGTTAACTTCCACTAATTGACTTAGATCTGCAACCCAAACACCTCCCAGTATCATCATGATCTTAAAAATACATCTAAGTACACTGAAGCAGTTGCTTCAGTAGTTCTGTTCACCTAGAGCAGGCAGAAGTACCTGCTTCAAGTATCAGTGGCACAGAACAGCCACACATCGAGCGTGACACCAGCTCCAGACCCGGCTCCACCATGGAACACACAGCACGTTTGATTCCAAGTGCCTGAAGCAGTTAAAATACGATCCTTCTGCATTGGGACCCAGCACTAAATAAGCTGATGACTTCAGCTTCTCCCCATGAAAACCGACATTCAGCAGAAGCTAACAGACCCAAATGGCACTTGCCAGATCGAGCAGAAGGCTCATGGATTTCTCTCTGCTGGTAAAAGCTGCCTGGCAGAGATGGGATGATTTCAGACCATGCTTATTTTTCTTGTCTTTGCAATGTGGCACACCACCCTAGCCAGCAAGGGGGTGCCTTGCTTTCATCGGCTCCACAAAGCACCACCAAAACCATTATAACAGCAGCAAACGACCCTCTTACCTTCACTTGGATTTTCTTTCAGCTGCTCCTCGTATTCTTGCATTGCTGACACACAGCTGTTGTGGATGAGCTCCCCTAACCGCTTCAGGTCAGCTACAGACTTATCCACCAGCTCTGCATCCCGGGCAATGCACTCCAGCCTGGGAAAAGGGGAAAAAAAATTGTAAGTTTTGTATCTGATGCAGCATTTCTCCTCCTGGTCATTCTCTGAGCAGTTGTTTCACGGCTTTCAATCATCAATGAGCACTGTGTATGTGCAGAGCTGGTGCAGGAAATGGTTTTAGTCTTTTTTTTAGGCCTGACAACTGCACCACAGTGCAGATGCAGTGTAACTGGCCCAATCCTTTGGATTTTTTAGTCTTAAAAAGGTGAGAACTGTCTATCTCGGGCACACCTGACTCTCCAGCGTGCTTTATGCCCTCCCAGTGCTGTCTTAGCGACATTCAGTGCTCAGGAGCTGCCATCTGCTGTCCCTCTTGACTGGTTTGTAACACTAAGGCCCATATACAAGCCTTGTGTTTCCCAACCAAAGAGTACAGCCAGCTGAAAAAGCAAGTCATTTCTCAGACAACAGGGAGTTGAGGGACTGTGTGGCAGTGTTTGGGTTGCAGAGCACATGACGGCAAACTTATCAGGACTGGTGCTGCGTGGGGAAGTTTTGTCAAACACTGGCAGCAGCGGGTGCGTGGCAGGGCTTACAAACACAACATTGCCCCCAGGATAACTCTCTGAAGCAAATCCAGGCTGGGACTTACCGTTCAAGAGGCAGTCCAAACTTCTTGTAAGCCTTGATAAACCTAAGCAAAAAAAAAAGAAAAGAGGAACTAAAGTAACTGCCATAAAAACGGGTCCAATATCACACATACACTTGAATATATTAATTACAGCCTGCCACATTATCAACCTCACATTCCACTCTGATTAGCTAAGCATCACTCAGGACTGGGAAGTTTCATCCATTAACCCTCACAAAGAGTTTTGTGACCTCGGCTGGAGAAGAACACGACGTTATTATGAATGTTGGATGTTTGACAGATGAGGGAAAAAAAAAAAGAGGAGAAACATAACCGTAAAGAAAAATTAGAAGAAAGCATTGGCTCACACCATATTGGTAATTATTAACTTCATTTTCCAAGGAGAAAAGAGGCATTAAATCAATGTCATTAGTAATTTCAAGCTCAGGCTATAAGTAACAACCTGTCACAGAAGAGCCAAATGTAGTGCAATGCGTCACAGAGCCTTGCAGACAAGGATTGTTATTTATTTTTATTTCTTATTTTTTATTGTGAAAATCTCTGCCATTACTAACACACAACTTCAAGGCAAGAGTCAGACATCACTGCTGCAACTGAACAGGGCTTTGTGCTGGAGTAGACCCAATGGCTTCAACTGCAGAATATTTTTAAATGAGTTAATTTTTTCCCTTCTCTTTTTCATCGTGCACTCTTTCAGCCTCTTTCTGCTACAGAACTTTAACCTAAATGGCTGTTATATTCACATTGCAACACCTCCTTCCTTCTCTATGGTTTTGGGGCTGGATATGGGGCAGCTACCACAATGCACCAAGCTTGACCATTTCCTATTTAAAAATGCATTTCTCAGAGACTGAGGCAAGGAAAACTCACAAACCTTTTTCCATCTTTGGCTGAACCTCTGGACAGAGCCTTAAGACAAAAGCCTGAGGGAAAGGCTCAAAAATGAGAAGAAAATACAAGAAGAAAAGAATACTTTGGAATTCAGCCCCCAGCTGACTTCTGGAACACAGTGCAGAGAGGATATACCAGTGCTCTGATTGACTGGACCACTGCTTCTCATGGGGTTATTTTGCCTTTAACTTCAACTTGAATTGTCAGGACTACAGACAGAAAAAAGTCGGGGATGCCAGTTCTGGGCTTCTCCAGCTCCATCTCATGGCACATAAAATCTTACATCTAATATGGAATTAGCTCAATCCACTCAGCCCTGCTGATCAGTTACAAGGATTAATTTTAGGAAGGTACCAGTTTCACTGCAGATAAAGATAATCTAGCCTATTTGGGCCAGACGTGAATGTTAAAGTCAGCAGCAAACTGAATTATACAAAAGTGCAGAAGCTGTCCCAAAGAGACAGCTTCACCTAAACCACTGATGTGCTTATAGCTGAATATCTCCTGGATTAACTTGGGCTTTTCTACACCTGCATGGGGTTTCTGTATTTTTCTAAGCTGTCTCTTGTGCTCACACTGACCTCCGGATTTCAGCATCAGTAAATCCTTCCACGGTATCTTTTCTAACACTCCGAGGACGTCCCCTGCGCTTTGGTCTCTTCTCGTCATCGGTGTCGTCAGTCTCGCTTTCTGATCCAGACGATCTCTGAAGCCTTCTCTTGGTTTCTGCATCCGATTCGCTGTCATTCGTTTGTGCCTGCATACAGCAGAAAGACAGCACTACAGTTACCAACTGCTAATCTGCTAATCTTTTCCATCCCTCTCGTGCACTGGCACTATTTCTTGTTCAGGCTGAAACACCTCGGTATCTCTTCCTGAAGGTGCAGAAGCCCATGTAATCAAACCAGACTGGGTACACACACTCTTGCAGTTTCTGGCTAGCTAAGGCTCCAGTGCTCATCCTCTCTTTACAGTCTTTACAGTTTCACAACTGCATTTTGATTTACTGAAGTGTGACATGTTAAAACACATTGATTTTCTGTGGTTTTGTGCCACAGTTCCTAAGGCTCCTTGATAGCTGTTTTTTTTTAAAGACAAGGAGACCTCAGAAATAATCTGCAATCATCAGATATAAATTATCCTTCTGTTTAATTTTCACTTAAAAATTTCCCCTCTTATCCCAGAGAACAGCTCATAACACTCAAAAGTCCCAAATCCCAACAGAGTTTCCTTGCACAACCTGCTCCCTGTTGGATTTGGGTAGATCACATCACCTAAAAACAAACTTGGGATGACAGTATCACTTTTTGCCTGCAAGAGACACTTTTAGGCAAGAATAGTGCAGGGAGCTCTGGAGCCCAAGGGAAAGCAGCAGCCTGAAAACGACATAAACCACAGAAGATCTGCATTATACAGTTGGTTATTTTTCCCTGTGCTCACTACAGGTTCTGTTTGCTAACACAGCATGAGTTGTACCAAACCCAGTATGGACTTTCAGACTGCATTATGAACCGTGGGCCCAATGCATGATGCCAGCAAGAAACCAACGTGCTGCCTCTGTGGGTTACTCCTAACCAGCTTTGGAGAAGGGGAAGCAGCACTCAGATGGCAGGGAAGCTTCCCCTTGAGTGCTGCCTTTGCCAGCTCTGGCCTCCAGCCTCTTGGCTCCTCGAGATGTGCTGTACCTTTTTGGTCGAGCTCCGGATGCGAGGCAGCATGTAGATTTCCTCCAATTCTTTCTGCCTTTCTTCCTCCTCCACCTTTTTCCTCTGCTCCTCTGGAATGATATCGTCCCAGTCCTTCTGGGACCGCTCGTCCAGCTCTGTCTCTTCCTCCTCCATGGTTGCAAAGTTGGCCACCTTTTATAAGCAAAGGAACACTTTTAGAAATTCCCACCCCTGGCAGGAATACCCCAGAGCTGTCTGCTAAGCCTCAGCTTCTTCTCCATAGGAATTTTGCCAACATTTCCATGATTACTATATAATTGATCCCTATGTCACTACATTCCTGGGTCTTTGCCATGTCTTTGGGCTAACAGCTCTTGAGGAAGTACGTGCAGCTTAAAAAGTACTGCTGAGCCTCGCTAAGTTATCGGGTTTGTTTCCAAATTTGGTAAGTTCTACATTTTATTCACAGCCTTCAGGGCCACTTAAAAGGAAAGGAATACCTACACATCTGCCCAGCTGCCAAATCCAGACAGCCCCTCAGAAAACTGCTCTGTACAGGTCACTTCTCACCGGGCCTGATGTGTTCTGTCCACCACTGACCTCACCACCGTGGCAAGACGTGGGGACAGAGGTTTTGGCACCCCGCTGCAGAGCCCGGAGTCTGTACCTTGAACTGTGAGAGGAGCTCGTCGGTGGCACTGGTGGACACTTCGTTCTCTCGTGTTTCAGCCAAACGCAAAATCTCGTCGATGTCCATCTCCTACCAGTCAGAAAGAAAGAGCGATAAAGCGGAGGGGCCGAGCACGGGCAGAACCAAGAGGCTTTGAGAATAGACTTGTGGGGTGCGAGAGCTAAATAGGGATTGTGCTGATACGAGCTAAATAAAGTGCAAATATCTGCAGGGTGTCATCACCCAGGGCAGGGATGAACTATCTCAAGTGGTACGAGAGAGTATAAATACAGGTGATAGAATAAAAGCAGCAAGGGAAATTTCCAGGCAGTGAGGTGTATCAGTTGTTTCCCTCAGGGGAAGCTCTGCTACTTGGGCTGTTAAGGGAATTGGTCAGAGCACTCAGTAAGAAACTGCCAAGCAACGCCGTGCTGAGAAGGGAGGGAGTGACCTATTTGACTTTATTACTGACTGCACCATCTCTGTGAGGACAACCCAAATAAAGCAGGCTGGAGAGATGCTCAGAGGAGCGAGCCCTCGTTAGGCCATGCTATAGCCAGCTCGTGAATCCCAGGGAGCTGAGGGGCTCTCTTGGTGACCTTCACCCCAGCAAGGAGGCTCTTCTCAGCCCTGATCCCCACCCCAGAGCTCTCTTCCTTCAGCTGCCCGGGACTCACACCCTCCCTATTCACCAACCTGCTCTTGTGCACAGGGCAAGTACAAAGAGGGAGCAGACACAGAGGGATTACCAACAGCGATGTTATTTCAGTTTCAAACTACCTGAGGCTCTGACTCTTCCCCTTCAAGCTCCTTGAAGAGATCTTCGGCTCCAAACTTCAGAATAGCCGTCAGCTCCTCTTTGTTGAACGGATTTGAACTGCAAGCAGAAAAGAATGCAGCAGGGTTTGGAGCTGTTAACTCAGCTTTGTCACAGCACAAAACCATACCAAAGTTTCTCCTAATTAAAGAAGCAAGCTTTCTCCCCAGCACTAAAAAGAAGCCTTTTTGTTCATCTTTTCTGCTCTGGCATGGACATCTACTGTTAGAGGAGAAACCTCTATCTATTGAGGAGAATTGGGAAGAGTCTGAGGTCACTGCAGCTGTTCCCTGATACCACCAACAACTTTTCTCAGACCAGGAGGATCTCTGGGAGAAAAACTGAAGGAAAAACAGGGCAATGCCTTTCAATCTCTGATCATCTTTATCCTACATGTCCAAATTAATGACTGCATGAGCCAAATTAGTGGAAGGTGCCTTTATTAGTGGAAGCTCTCTTCTCCCCCATACCCTATCAAATAAATGTTGGGAGGTATCAGAAGGGGAAGCTGGTTATGCCACATGCTGTATCAGATCTTTATGCCTCCAAAACCAATTGCTTACTTGGATCGCCCGGAGTTGTTGTCCAGAACAGTCCGGCCAGTGGTGTCCATACGCTGGATCACCAAATGATCCAGCACCATTTTCTTCTTGGCCCTCTCAATGATCTCCTCCTCTACCGTACCCTTTGTGACCAGCCGGTAAATATTCACCTGAAGGGTGAGAGAAGAACAAAGCTGTTTCCAGGAGCTGAACACGCTGTGCTGACACAGTAATGCATCCCTGAGTTGTTTCAGAGGAGACTCCCCTGCTGACATGGTCCTTTTATGTACAGATGTGTCTTTTTAGAATAAAACCAAGCACATGCTTCTGTATGTCAGGGGGACCGCGTAATATCAGGCTGGTTAACATGGAGCTTGTAGTGTACGTAAGATAAAAACCTTCTGGAAAAAAATCACTCTAAATCCAAATTAGCATCAAACTTTTCATGTATCTAATAAAACCCTAAAAAAGAAGGATATTCTACTTTCTAGGGCAGAGTGAGGCAAAGAAGTGTGATGCCCCCAGCTGGGTTCTTGGTTTTGAACTATACAAGAACCAAAAGCCAACAGTTTGGGCCAGTTTTTGGTTTCCTTGGCTTTAAATGAGTTTCTCTTGGGTTGATGGTACTGGGGCGAGGTTTGGGGGCAAAAAGGCCGTGTTTTCAGCAGCTCTGGCGAGGGGGGAGCCCATTTACATGTACTTGCTGAAGCCACAGAGCAAATGAGCCAGGTAACTCTCCTGACCTGCTTCTTTTGTCCAATGCGGTGAGCCCGAGCCTGAGCCTGGAGATCATTTTGGGGGTTCCAGTCCGAGTCAAAGATAACGACAGTGTCAGCAGAGGCCAAGTTAATTCCTAGTCCTCCAGCTCGTGTTGACAACAAGAAACAGAAGTCCTAGGCGGGGAAAACAACACATAAGTCAGCCAGCCTGTAACTGTGGACATAAAACAGTAACTGTGACTACAGAGCTGTGCAAGGAAATGGATGGAGGCTGTGGTGTGCTTGTACTTCTGTACGAAGCAGGAAAAGGCTCAAAGCCAAGGCAGAAGGGGGAGGTGTGCTGCTCCAGGAGGGGCCAGCATGCATCCTTGTGGGAGGGCAACGCAAACAGCTCAGGGCAAGGGCACCTTGGAGTCACCTCCGAAGGTCAGACCATGCCCACCAGCCCCCTGCGAAGGCAGCAGGCAGACACGTGCTTTTTGTTGTCTGAAGCCCGCTGGGGGTGAGATCAGCTCCGAACACGAACTGTCTGAGTCACTGCCAAGGGGACAGGCTGCCAGGACAGAGCCGGGATGTCTGAGCCCTGGTGGATGCCCCCAGCAGAGGGGAAAGGGCAGCTTCTACGGGCATTCCTGCTCCCTGCTCTCCCGCCTCCACTGCTGCTTCCTCCTGGCTTTTATTTATTACCTTCCCCAGCACCACAAAGCACCCTCTGCATCGCCTGTCAGCCCCCAGTCCAGGCTCCTGGAGTGAGGCTGGACATTTCTCGTGGCTGGGAAATGGCCGAAAGCGAGCGCCCTGCACCCTCCCTGTGAGTCAGCACACCCCAGGAGAGGCTCGGGATGCCCTCTCCTATTACACCGGAGACTCACCTCCGACACCAGACCCCACTGCCTGCCCACACTTCAAACTTCCCCTTTGCCATTTCATATTCCAAACCAGCTGCAGACTGGAGGATTTATTTAGCAGCCGTCTCATTCCCCAGACCGTAAGGAGAGAATTGCTAAGTTCGGGCTCTTCCCGGCCTCTTTGGGACTACGTGGAGCTGTGCCTTGCAGCCCCGTTATTTGGGTGTGGGAGGTTTAAAACAAGCAATACGGATGGGTGCAAAACAAGCTGTAGCTATGTCTTTAAAAGTGACAGGGGTCCTGTAAAAAGAAATGAACTGAACTTAATCCCCTCCTGGCAGTCGGGACCTGCAGCCCACCCTCACCCTTTGGGAGGCCAGAACATTCCCCCTGCCCTACCTCAGAGCCATCAGCGTTGAAGTGGTCCAGCGCCTGCTTTCGGATCTCCCCTTTGATCGAGCCGTCCAAGCGCTGGAAAAATCAACAATAATGATAAAAGAAAGAAGGTAAAGGAGCCCTGAGGAACCGTGGCACCCAAGTTCTGGGAGGCTGACAGCCCCCTCCCCTGCCCGTAGCATTTAGTCCTTAAAAATAGCCGCCAATTAAAAGGAACTGGGCTGCCTTAACCTGCTGCGTGCGAGGGCAGGAGGGGGGCATGCTTGGGCAGCAGTCACGCAGCGGGTGACACTGCAGCTCCCGTTACAGGCTCCCAGCCAGGATCTCTGTGTTTGCTATCCTCTCCTCGGGGTTTATCACGGGACAAAGGCCAAAGCAGGGGCCTGGCAGAGGAGGTGTTTTGCAGAGACAGGGCTTAATTTATTGAGGTTTTGTATGCTGGGAACGTGTGCCTCGCAGCAACCTTCAGGAAGTGGTACAAGTCCAGAAAAACAGCAAAAGGGCTGGCTAGCCAGCATCAGTCAGATGGAAACAAACTGCCCAGGACCCATTAGCCACCTCAGGTTGAAGAAATACAGATATCAACATCCCTAAATAGCTTCAGAGAGCCAGCAAGGGAAGCAAGCTCCAGGGCTGAGAGCCCTCTGCACAAAACCGCCTGCTGGTAGATGTAGGGACACCTGCACACAAGGGCTTTTAGCATGAGCACATCAGTTATCTCAGCTAGAGAAATGGCTCACGGAGTACAAGGGGTTTCTGTTAGGCAGGGTGTCCAATCCACAAGTTGCTTTAGTGATTAACACCCACCAACAAGTGTTTGAATCTGTTGTACAGGATTCTCCCCATCATTTAGACTCTTACTTTATGAACAGCAGTACCAAGCCATTGTAAGAGCAGTCCTCGTCTATAGCTCTCAAAGGATACATCATTATGCCCACTTACAGCAGGCAAAACATCCACAAAAAAGGAAGTGCCACATCCAAGGGGCAGCATCAGACAGTGAGCGAGGCGTCCCACGCTCTCAGCTGGTTTCTGCCTCTCCATATGTTCCCTTCCTGGAGTGCCACACTGAAATGAAGGGACCTCCCAGCTCCCTCCAGTGTATTTCAGTGCCACCTGTAATCCCAGCCACCCCAGCCTCCAGGAACCTGAGTGCTTCTCATTGCCCAGGTTCCCTCCTTATTTTCAGGTGAACCCCACTGTTTTCCATGCTGGTGTTTCTCACCTGAAAAGGGTAGTGTTTGATAGTCAGGTACTCCGCCAGGATGTCCAGCATCCTCACCATCTGGGAGAAGATCAGCACTCGGTTGCCTCTGTCTCGCAGCCTGGTCAGCAGCTTGTCCAAGAGAATTAGCTTTCCACTGCTCCTGATCAGAGACTGAAGAAGTAACCGTCAGTCCAGCGGATGCTTTCCAACCTTACCCTTGTGTAAACTACACAGAGACGCACAGAGACCTGCTTCTTTGGGAGCCATGCTTCTCCCACACCTCTCCAATCAAATCACCTGGGTTCACACAGCGGAAGGCACACACACAGTAAATTATCCAAGATAAGTCTCATACTGCACACACCTCCCACAATATGCTGACTATGGTGGAAGGGGAGGGCAGGAGATCCTGTGGCTCAGCTGTGAGGACTATTTCCAATGGACAGGGGCAGCTGAAGCTAAAGCCTCACCTGATTTTATCTTGGTGAGAGGATAGGAGGAAGGGAAAGTTAAAGAAAAGCCATAACCAAGGGCGCTGCCCACCTGCAGGGTCTCAATGCCGTTCTCTTTCTCGTTTTCCTCAGGAGGTTTGATAAGGTAGCAGTGGTTGCAGCACTTTTTCAACTCCATCACAATGTTCAGGAAACCAGATGTGCTCCCTCTTGTTCCCTTCGAAAGAGCCTTGTAGTTTCTTGTCAAAATCCACCTACAGGCAGGAAAATAAACAGGCCAAATCACTTCACAGTGCAAAGAAGGCATGCTGGAGCCTGAGAGGAGCAAAACCCTCAGGGACATCCTAGTTCAGGCATCAGTCTACTCTCTTCCCTCCATCTCTCCTCACTTCCTCCAGAGGATTCTGCTTTTTCCTCCTCACTAGAAACCCTGATCTTACTTTCCTCTTGATGGTATTACAGTTAAATATTAAACAGCACCAGAGTTCTGCAGGGAGCTTTACTGCCCCAAAATGTATTCCACGAAACATGTTCCCAAGTCACACAGAAAGCTGCTCCCATTTCTGCTGGTACTCCCAGTAACTTAATAAGCAACTCACTTGTAATACTGCTTCTGCAGAGCAGACATTTCCACCCGGAGGATCTGCTCCACTTTGGCTGGCAAAGATTTCTCCACATCCTTCTTCACTCTGCGCAGGAGAAAGGGCTCCAGGACTTTGTGAAGGCTCTGGTAGCCATTCTCTCTACCTTTCCCGTGATCTTCTTCAAAATCCTCCCAGAACTCAAACCTAGCAACAGAAATCAGTAGTAGAAAGGGGTCAGAATATATTGTCTCATGGTATCAAAGAGCACATATCAGATATGCTCACACTGCATGATGAGACAAGAGACCACCAGTTTGATGGAGACACAGTGGAGGATAAAATGTTTGCTCTACTCTGGTTAACTGAACAGGCTGGAGGCACAGCTAGAAGCTCTCTGGGTTTAGGTACCTTCCAAATATTTTATCTTTGAGCTCCATAGCTCCTCATTGACTCCCAGTTCCAAAAATCCCAGGCTTTCCAATATTCTCCTCCGATGTCTCCTGGTAGCATTTACCAAGTAGCAGTTTCTGAAAGTCCCACATCAACCACCCCTTAGGCAGGGCTCTGACAACCAAATTCTGTTTCACACTGCTCTGATGGCTTTTTTGGACTGCTGCTTCCTCTAACAGCTCTTTGAAATTTGGAGAACTGCTCTTCTCTGTTTGTGAGACCATAAATCTTTCCCTTCAATCTTTCCGTGTTCCAACAAAAAGAATTTGGGGGATAGCTCTTCGTACAGTCAAACATCATTTGGGTGAGTCTGGGGGCATGCTCGTCCTAGCCTTAGCAATGCACACAGCCCATTTCGTTTTAAGAAAACAAAACATTTGTTATAATGTGGGCATGCAAACAATCAGCTAGACACCACTGTCCTCGAGCAATACTCCCAGGGACCGCCATAAAAATGTTTGGCGAGGATGGCTGAGCCGCATTGTACCGGAAACCTCAAAAATGGTTGAGATGATTGCTTAAAACAAGTTTAGCTTTTTAGAGATGGCACTAAGACAGCAAACAGATTTGAAAGACATGTATTAGGTTTCCCCATTCAATTTGGTGCCAGAAATACTCTTTGTGTTAGTCATTTAACCTCTCGTTTTCCCTACAAGTGTTTGTTCCCTTTTCACTGGTCTAATTCCACTGAGTTTAATTCAGGGTTTCTGTCTTTCTGCTCTCCCTCAGTCTATTTGATGGACAAGAAAAGACACACAAAGGTATTTTCTGAAGCACCAAAAGGAGACTTACTTCTCTGGCATGATGAAATGAAGCAGGGACCAGAGCTCTTTGAGTGAATTTTGAAGTGGGGTGCCGGTGATCAGCAGCCTGTGGTTGGACTTGAAGTCTATCAACGTTTTGTACAGCAAAGAGTCGTCATTTTTCAACCGATGGGCTTCATCCACGCCTAGAAAGGCCCAGTTAATACTTCCCAAAACAGCCTGAAGGAAAAGAATTTAAATACATATATATATATCCTGGGTCAGATGAGTCCCACCACACTGCTCATGCCTCTCTCTCCATGGCCACAAAGCACTGCCGTGTCTCCTTTTCCAGGGAGTCCTGCCCCAGTCCCTGTGCAGAACCCACCAAAGCAGTTGGGCTCACAGGAGTTTCTTAAGAATAAAATTTGGGGACCAGGGTGCCCACACCATAGTTGATTTGTTGTAAAGGTGAAAAACAGCCACACTGCCTAGCACTCCTGCCACATCTGAATGGCATTCCTGCAAGTACATCTATTTTGATCCACCTTTTCTTTACCCAGAGAATGCAGTCCTCCCCCAGGCCCCAGTTCCTCTCTTTCTCCATGGCCATGGGGCCCTGCTATGGCACCGGCCTCACTGACATGATCAGAGCAGTAGCATATAACACTTTTATATATAGCTATATATAAAACTCTGTAAGTTATGGCAACCTGAGAGTTTTGATATTTTTTTTTTCACTAGTGTTAAGCTTCTTGTTTTCTCCTAGGACTTGATGATGCACTGACAGAGTTGATGCCCATTTCCTAAACAGACAGATTTTGCCTAAGTGTGAAAATCCAGATATTGGAAGCCCTGTGCCAAAAGTTCATTGTAAAGTTTTGCCCTCTTAACTAGTCTAAATTAAACCAGGTAAAATCCCACTACAGCTCTGCTTGGTGTCTTATAAAAATTAATACAACTGCCACAGTACCAGGGTGAATATGCAGCAAGTGTCCAACAAACCCTCTGCCCACTACCAACACACCCTCTACCCTCTGTCCAACCCACTCAGAGGGTGGCTTCCCCAGTTACAAGCAAGAGGTGACCTACATAAAACACCCTTGGCCCATTACTCACCTTGTCTTTGAGGAGGATCTCGTATGTTGTGATAAGTGCATTGAACTTCAACCTTTTAGACTGAGAGTGGATCCACTCATATTCACGTATCTGCGAGAGGAGACAACCAACATTACTGAAGGGAAGGAGTTAACAGGTGTTATTTGAGTGTAGCTATAGCTGGAGCCTCCAACCGAGTCCAAACCCTGTTGCTGAACGTGACATTTGACGAGCAAAGGGTGTCCAAGGAGCAGCTTGTTTTACTGCACGCATGGCTCTTACACAAGCACCAAAATAAGGTCAAACAACTTGCTGTTGTGACATTCACCCACCATGTCACTACTGCCACCACTAGACTCACAACATTTGTGTGCCGCCTTGTCTGAATAATTCAGAGCAGATGGACGAGGTTGGCAGTTGTGCCCTGCAGCACGTTTCAGCCTAGTGGTCTCCAGACCTTCTAGGGGAGGCCAGTACTCCTGTGCTCACTCTAAGGGGGAAAAATAAGGTAGCAAAGTCCCTACAGCAGGGAATTCCACCCAAGTGCTCAGCTACAACCAGCTCTAACTGCCCACAGGACTGTCGGTACTCTCCAGCAGATGGCATGTCACACACACACATGCTACACAGAAGCTGCTGCATTGCACGCAGCATTTCCATGAACCCCACGCCCTCCGCTTTCTGATTACCCACCATGTTCCTGCTCATGAGGTCTCCGATGTAAACTACCACGTTTATCTCAGGCGCCCACACTTCAAACTCTCTCTGCCACGAGGTGAGAGTCGACAGAGGTACCACCACCAGGAAAGGGCCGTACAGCTGGTGCTGGTGGAAGAGGTACGACAGGAACGATATTGTCTGAATCGTCTTCCCCAGGCCCATTTCATCAGCCAGGATCACGCTGTTGTTCCTGTGCAGGAAGAGAACACACACAAATGCTGTTTGACTACGTGTTTGTGCCACTGCTAACATACTGTGCGCTAGCACAAATAGCAACCCACAACAGACAGAAAGAGAGCAGTGCAAAAACATTTGTATGAATGCTTGTGAGTAGATCCCAGAGATATCTAGACAGCAGCTTGCAAAAAGGAGCAGATTACAACCACTCCAAACTGGCATGGAAGGATGAAGGCACAGGGAGAAGGGAACCAGTAGCCTAATTTTAGAAGGACATTTCTCAAAGACTTCAACAAGTGTGCAAGCATGCTGAGGCAGAAACCAGTTATTTTCTGCTTTCCTTGTTCCATCTACAATGCAACTGGGTGTGAAAAAAACTTGAAATACTTCAAGCTGCAGAAGTAGGCTCGGTAAAGACCTCACTAGAGAACAAGAGGGCCAGATTCTTCTGGGATAAAAATCAGAAGACCCAAAGCAAGTGTGGCTCATTTGCGGTGCTGACCAGAGCTTCAGACAGAATCCGTACGTACTTGCACCAGGAGTGAGCGAGCCAGTTGAGGCCCTCCAGCTGGTAGTCTCGCAGCTCCAGGTTCTCACCACCAATGTAAGAAGGCTGTTTCTTCAAGGCAACAAACCTTGGTCTCTGCTTCAGTACCTGAAAAAGATGACACCATAAGCCCACTGGAGAAAAAGACCAGGTAAGGCTGAAAATTCAGCAATGAAATCTGTGGGTTTGGTGAGGAATGTAGATTGGCTCATCAGCTAATGTTCATTTTTGTCTTCCTAGCCACTTCTTGTGTCTGCAGTTCAGACACCACTCAGCAGTGTTCTGTTTTCCTGCCTTCCTCCAGTTCTGATGATCAGAGCTGCAAGTCCTCCCAAGAGTGCAATTAGCTGTACATAATGTACACTGGATGGAACAAGTTCCACTTTCCTTTTTGGCTTTTTCTGTTTTTTGTTTTTTTGTTTTTGTTGTTTGTTTTTTTCTCCCACTGTCTCCATCCCTCTCCTCCACTGTATCAGTGTCTTACAGACTTCCTCTTTCCCCAACTGTGCTGTTTTTCCGTTCAACTGATATTAAAACTTTGCCTGGCTACAGCAGCTCCTCCTGAGGAGGAAGCACTTTGCAAGGATTAATTAAGCCTCTCACTCCACAGGGGGACATAACATGTGCACTGTGCAGAGCAAATGAAACCAAAAGGGGTTCACATCTCTGTCTAAAGCACAAGAACAGCAAACAGCCGTTCAAATGCTGATGGGAAGATGGGGACATGTTCTCTGACATTTATCCTGACAAAACTTTATGTTCCTACTGTTTGTGTCATCACCCAGCCAGAAAAAACAGAGCAAGAGGAGAGAAGAGAAGCAAGCAAACCTTGCAGTCCCGTGTAGGAATTGTTTTGGAGTTGTTACGGTTGTTGAAGCTGTCAATGCAGTGCTGAAATTTCTTGCTTATCAGAGCCTCATCTTCCCAGCTGCATTCCGCATAGGGCAGCCCCATCCACTTGCACAGGTATTCAGGGTCATTTGAGGATGTTTTGCGACTGTTTGCTGCAAAATATGCACACACAAAAAAAAGCCCAAACATCAGCAACTGCGGTTCTGTGGCTGAACCACAAGCGTGGTTCACAAGGGCAGTCTGAACCACCCCTACAACCACAAGACAGGTCTTGGCTAATAGGAAAAGTGTAGAGAGGCCAAAGAGTGCTCCTTTACCTGGGAAGTCAGCGTGCCCCGTCGCAGACTTGCTGGTCTTCACGGCTGTGGTTGGAGACACAAGGGAAGCAAGGGTTTATGTGCTGGCAGCCAGCAGGGGGAGCAGGACAGACAGAGGACCACATGCATTTTTGAGAGGAATTGTGTGGAAATAGGTTAAACAACTCTCCAGGCCAATTCCCAAAGCAACTGGCTGCCAGCACCTCTGACTGATACTTCTGTAATAATAGTGAAGTGCTAAGCCCCGTTTTTATTTTTAATAAGTAAGTAATCATGAAAATCTAACCCCTGAGCTGCCTTGCAGTCTAACCACATCCTTAACCACAATGTCACGGAAAGTAGTCCTGACAGCACCAGGCCTGTGCTTCTGCAAACACCTTGACAGAAGTCAAAGGACTTCACCAGCAGCAGCAACTTCAGTGAGCCCCTGGAAGCTGGGTGTATCATCCCATACTTCAAAGCAAGGAAAGGGCAAGTGACCAGCATTGCTTGTAGATAGATATTTGTAAACCTGCAGAGCTACTGTTCAGTCCCTAAATCTCACACACTAATTCTCCAGTGATATGGGAATAAAAGGAGAAAAAGGGAGCCTTATGCTCATTTTGCTGTCAGTACAGATTAAAGTTCCGAAGTCTCACTTCACCCCTTTACAAAAGTATTGGGTTCACTTACCAATTACTCTCTCCACTATTTGATACTGTTTGTTCAGCTCTGAAGCCAGCTCCTGTTGGCAGTTGAAATATTCCACATCTTCAGGGGATACCTTGGCCAGCCTATACGCAAAAAGAAAAATAAAAAGAGATTATAATGCTTCTGTAACATCATAATGCTCATTGAGGCAATGTATAGAATTATTTTTTTTTTATATGGTTATGGAATTAAGTCACTGAAGCAGACTACTGCTTATTTGACATCTATATTTCTTAAAGTTTCCTATAATTATAAAATATTACTGGGAAGCGAATGTCATAGAGGCTAATATTGTCTCCCTGGTAAATGACTCCTTATCCTGCTGCAAGAATCAGCCACAAAAATACGAATCAAACAATCAGGGATGGAAGCTTCTACTCCAGCTTTACCACTTTGGAAACACACAATAGCCCCCTTTATTTTTCTTGGGGAGGTCAGACAAAAACGTACATATAGACAAGCCCATAATTAGCAAGGGTTAACAAGGCTGCCTTGAAGCAGCCTGCAAAGCAAAATTCAACAGCCTGCCCTGTGATGAGCCCTGTTTTCCAGCACAGCTGCTTGGTTTAGCACGCAAGGTCTCATTGCTATCCATGAGCCCTTATGCCACCTCCTGGGCCAGGCACTCCTTTTATTTGTTGTCAGCTACCCAATTTATAAGCCTGGGAATTGGCAATATGTGAAGTTCTGTCTCCTCTCTCTTTTAATACCATGGCCACAGGCATCATTTCTATGATGGGGATGTTGATCAACAAGCAAAGAGACACGAGTGTTGTGCACTGAAAACAGTTGCTTTGGATGGAATATGCTTTGCAAGAAAAAATCAAATGTTTTCAGCCCTGACGGTGCAAACCTCTGGCTAAAAGATTCTCCCAAGGCGAAATCACTGGTCGAAGTAAAGCATACCATTGCTTGATCTCCTCCTCTTTTTTCTTGAAGTTCTCTAGCTTTTTCAGGCCCTTCACTTTCTGCTGCTGCAGGGACTCTTCACTCTCCCATGTGCTATGGATGTATGACCAGCCTTTCCATTTGATCAGGTACTGAACTTCTCCCTCATCCTTTTCAGGGTCAAAGTCAGCACTTGGGTTGCCATTGGCTTCAGTTGCATACACTGTGGTGGAAGCACCAGTGGCTGCAAAAGAAATCAGGCTGCAGTTGGTACCTTTGTTAAAAAGCACTGGACATGAACTGCATTAGAGGAGGAAGTTATTTTTTCTAATGCATCCTTTGTGACAGCACAAAGAATATTCTACAGATTCTTCCACCCAATGAGACAGGCATACAAAAGTTTTCCATACAACAGGATCTTTTTAAATCTCTCTATCATAAATGCCTTTTCTTTAAATATAATTCAAAGGTCTCTTGAAAATACCCAAGACCGTTCAGTTTTACAAAAACACTTTTGTGAGGCTATGAGAACAAAACATCAGCTTTATTTCCATTGTGGCTTTGTCAATGCAGCTATGAAAACTGACTCTACTGGAAGAGCTATTTTATCTTTTAAGGAAGAGAAAAGCAAGAACTTGCAGAACAATGACTGCATCTTTAAAATGCGTGCACGCTAAAAGAAAGCTGCCAAGCACATAAACTTGACATTTTAGGTTTTTCAATGGTAGATTTTTACAAAAGCTGCTAGAAGGAAGAAATAAGAGGCACAGGCGAAAGCGTGAAGAGCACTGAAATAACCCTGAGCCCCACTGGAAGGCTTCAAAGTCGCAAAAGCATTGGACCAGTTGACGAGAAACAGAGAGTGCATGACTGAAATCAGAAATAAAGTCTTTTTCCAGGGCTACGCACCTCCTTTTTTTCCAAGCCTGATGTCCAAGACTTTCTCAATAGTTTCACTGTTGTCTTGCTGTTCATCAGCTCCTTCCCCAGTCATCTCTATCAGGTCATCAGAATCCGTCTCAAAATCATCATCTTCTTTGTAACTGAACAAGATCAAAACCAAACTGATAAAAAAGCCTTTGACTCTTCCCAGTCCAGAAACACACAGAGTGGCATGGAGCGGAGCAAGCCTTTTCCAGCATTTATCCTGGGGCTCAGTGCTTGTTCAGCACACGCATCTCTTAAATCAGCCATTCAGTATTTTTCCCTGAGACACACAGATAGCAGCTACGCTTTATCAGAGCAATAGTGCATCATGTCCATGTAATGTTTGTGATCATGGCCAACACCAGATGCTTCATGAGGAAGTGGAGCAATCCCTGCAGCAGAAGCAACGTAAGACCACCAACAAAGCCTTTTCTATCCACTGACAGATTATTTTACATTTAATAACACAGGTTGCAGAGCACTGAAAGGCTGCTCAGGTGCTACGCTGCCCTAGGAACTACACATCTCATCTTTGATGAACAGTGAACAACCCAAAAATATTCTTCTGCTGGCTCTTTGCAAGTCCCTTTTGAGGTGACTGCCAGAAGGCGAGAAGGTGTATTGGGGAATGGATAATGCTTTGCCTCCACCATGTCTCAATGCTCTGTCCTAAGGAATTACTTATCAGCCATCTTAGACAATTGCCCCAGCTGCTCCCTCCTACTCATTTTAACCTACTATGTGCAATTCTTAATCTCATTTGAGCGTGTTTTAGAAACATTAAGCAAGCCTCCTTGTGCTTCTCTAAGAGAAACTGGTAAATATTTCCTGCCTTACAGCTGGCAAACCAAGGTAAAAAGAAGTCAGATGCTTGCAGCGTGAACATGTTGAAAGCCACATCTCAGGCAAAAAATATCTACAGGGTCTCTCTGCGGGGTCACACAGGTTGTCAGTGCCTGGGGCAGGGAATCTGGGGTGCCCTCTTCCCCAGCCCACCAGCTCTCATCAGCAAGCCACCTCACACTCCTCGTTACCTGACATTTTTGGCTGCTCTTCGTCGAGTTTGTCTCTTGGGGGTCTCATCGTCTTCATCGTCGTCGTCATCTTCAGATGAGTCCGGTTTCTTTCTCTTCTTCCCACGCTGGGGTTTGTGAGGCTTTTTAACGTTGGTTTTGGCCACTGTTCTAAAATAAGTATTAGCAGAAAGCTATAATACAGTGGGTTTTACATAAATGTCCATGTTAGTAAGCCTTAAAAAAGCACAAATTTCAAATATGAGACTCCTAGAGACTTAGCCTGCTCTAAGTACCATGGCAACCACTGTATCACTCACACAATAACTAGGTCCACAGGCTCATAATCGAGGATAATATTGAAGAAAATATTCTTTAGCAACAAATAGAAACTGCCTCTCCTCCCCAGCACAGGCAGGAAAGACATGCAGATACAGACTGAACCAACCACTCCTTACCTCCTCTGGGCAGGTCTTCTTGCTTTAACTTTCTTCGGTTCAGGCTCACTCTCTGCACTGGTGCCCTGCTCCCCTCCATCTTCATCCTCTTCTTCACCAGAGACCTCTCTTTTCCATTTATTTCTGTGGTCAGAAATGTAGGTCATCAAGGGCCGCCATATTTCAACACAAATGCTTGGCTAAGAAGGCATCCGAGCCATCTAGGTTAATACCAGCAGGCCATAATTATGAGAAAAAAAATACTGTGATGCACGGGGGAGCTGATGCTGCAATTTTCTGTTTTTAGGAATAGGTCTCGTCACCTACATCTTAGCTACACAGTGGCAATATGCCGTGAACATGAGTGGCTCTCACCACGTGCTACAGCACTGCATGTGGCAGGGCTATGCTTCAAACAGCGGGGCGGCAAAGCGCTTCAATTTATTTATTTTTCATTTCCACACATGCATTTCTGAAACGAGGTGGAAAAACCTTCAAGGTGGTTTCAAGCAGACAGATATTTCTCAGAAGTGCTCGCTTTCACTTACAGTTTACGAGCCACGAGGTGCACAGATACACTTTCCCCTCGTAGCCCAGCAAACAGGGCAGGAAGTCTCATGCCAGTTAGCTTTAAGTAAGTAAAGTTTCCAAGGCTGAAGCCAAATCCCACTGGTGCTACTTGTGAAAGCAAGCAGGTTCTTCACCAACAACGTGGAGCAAGATTCAGCTCTGAGCTGCCCTCCTCTCTCCATGGGGTACACGGGGAGTCCACGGGGATTATTCCCCTTGTCCCTGACTCTTATTCCCCTTCATCTTGTTCTGCACCGCTGTATGCAGCTGAATGAGAAATTAAAAGACAAGAAAGGAGAAAGGGAGCAGGGACCAAGGGGCATCCTGCTGTGTTTAGGTTTTCTCCAGCAGGGAGCTTGGTAGCTCTCTTCAGTACACTTGTGTTTAGCAAAACTCAGAGGTGCTCATTAGATGGAAACAGCAGCAAAACATAATTTAAATGAACTTGGATATTTTGATGGGACATCCAAAATGTCCTTTCTGGAAGGTCTTGCATCTTATCAGAGGGTAATAAAAGATAAAAAAGATAGTGATTTGGCGTTTTATTCTCCATTCATTAAAAATGGGGGAGGAGCAAGGATTAAACTATTTGAAGTACCCCTGAATGAGAAAAAGTAACACAGTGAAGTGAAAGACTGACAACAAAAATGAACCTGACTTGTTCTGGTTCCCTGGCATAGGCAAAGTGGGAAAACAATAGAGAAGTTGGGAAATTGCAGCCATCCAAAGGTTTACATTCATACTTCAATTTTAATCATCCAAAGTGTTATTACTGAAAATATTAATTAATTTTACAAGCTTTCCAAGTTGACAGTGCCTGTCAAACAATTACTACTATTCTGAAAAATAAAACAATAGAACAAAAGAAAACAAAACAAAGTGCCACTACTCAAAACCCCTTTCCCAGAAACTCACGTTTTTTTCATTTGCTTCTGGCCTCTTCGTTTGGGGCTCTCATTTTCAGATTCGCTACTTGCCTTCAATTGAAAAGAGAGAAAATCAGGTTGTAGGCTTCGCCCCGGACCGTCTCCTCAAGGACACAACTGAAAGGCATGCACGTGGCCTGACCTCAGACGCAGCCCCAGTGCTTTCACGGCCGCATTAGGGGATGCTTTGGTGGGATGGGGCTGCAGAAGAGCCACCAGCAGCCCCGCACTGGTCCCCCCGCACGGCCTCGGCTGCAGGGTTGGAGCCCCTGCTCTCAGCACGGAGCAGCAAAAGGCTGAGAGCCCCAATGCATTATCAACAGCAGAGTCGCTGGGGCTGGGATGTGCACGGTCACCCACCCAGCGTCCACCTCCAGCACCTGGCGGGGGCAGTGGGCAGCAGCCCTGCAGCGTGCGGTGCCCCGGGGGTCACACAGCGATGGACACGTTTGAACCTCCAAACCTTGCCCTGCTCAGGTCCTGGGGACAAAGCCACGGAGAGAGGGCTGCTCAGCTAGGACACAAGGTGAGCATCAGGTCTGCTCTGTGCCCTGTGATGTTTGGGAGGGAGGGCTTTCTGTGCTTGCACTCACACATACACGTTACAACCCCTGCTTTCATTACAGAAACTTCCTATAAGGAAGGAAGTTCTCCTTAAAAAGACACTGTTCTTATCACAAATGTCCTCCTTACTCTCCCGGGTTTTTCTCCCATAGCAAAAGCAGCCGAGGAAGCGGCTGGGTCAGACCCTGCCCTGCTGTTTTCCTTCCTGCTCATCCCCCCAGACTCCTCCAGTGAAGTCTTTCTGGCTAAATATATCTTGAGATATTCTACCTCCTCGCTGAACTATTTTAAATGTGGGTGTCATCGACTCCTACGGGCTGAGATAGCTAAAAATCTTCGTTGTGCACAGCCCTATTTTTGTAAAAACTGGTCAACCGTAAAAACAGATCCCCACACAATTAACACCCTGACACGAGCAGATGACTTTGCCCGAGCTACCTGCCACGGCACACACAAAGCACCGGGGAGAAAACCGAAGAAGTGAACGGGAGATTTTTCAAAGGGTATTAAAATGATAGAAAAAGCCTCAAAGACTGCTCGCTCCATGCATCTTGTGCCTTTGAAATCTTCTGTTTAACACTGGTTTTTTTTGCTGTGGTATTGAAGAAATGATCAGAGAGACCCCAGCCTCAGCCCTGGGTGAGCTCTGGCCGTGTCTGTGCCTCCCGTGCGCCCGCCGCGTTCCTGGTACAGCAGCAAGGCTCTGAGCCCAGAAGTGCTCAGACAAGGATCACCTGAAATGGCCTGAGCTGCAGTGTTAAGAAGTCAAGGCAGGGAAAAGTCATGCCCTGCACTCCTGCTGTCTTTCTGCAGCCTTTATTTCCACTTTCCAGCTTCCCTTTCACCAGCAGAAACTGCCCTTTGGCTTGTGCCTGTGTTTCCATTTAATGATCGGGAGTGCTAATTGCCACATCAGACCAGGAGCTGCATCTCCCGGTGGTTTTGTACTGGATTTCGGTGACACACCAACACCTCCAGCACGGTGTCCCCACACGAACACGTTCGCCACCTGTTGCACTGCACGGGATCCCTGTCTCATAGTCCAAGCATCCAGGAAGCGAGTGGCCGGCTAGCAGCATGGGCAGCCCTGCCCTCGCATGGCACAAACCCTCCCACAGACTGCAGCTTCAGCACAGCACAGTTCTAAAGTCCTCGCTTTTCTTTTTTAATCTTTTTCCTCCTTTAATCTCTCTTCTCCTCCCTGACATGTGCTGCTTTGCCATTCCGGCTGTGGTGTATTTCTCAGTAACCGTCCCTCGATGCGTGTTTACTTTCTGCTGTCTCTTGGCAAACCCCGAGCAGAGAGCAGTTGATTTTTCTCCCGCTCTGCGTCAGAGAAGACCAGATTTGGAGAAAACCAAACATGACCTTTGCCGCTCTCTGAAACTAACTCCACTCATTTGCCAAAATCCCACGTTTTAAGATTTTTGCCTTCACTTTCCTAACGCCTCTGCTCTGCCGCTGTTTCTGTGTAGCTGATGCTCATCTCAAGAACTCATCTTTCCCTCTTCGCCTTGAAAAATCTAACTTGTGGCTCCAGCTCGGCTGCATATCACAAAGTCCCCGCTGTCTCCTCCGGAGCTGTCTCTGCTGCAGCCTGGCCCCAGCCTGAGTCATCACGGCCTGCCCGGTGCTCCCACCCCATGTGCCCGTGACTCAGCCTCTCCTCGCCCACCACATCACTTCTTGCTCCTCTCCTGGCTCCGGCTCCCTTCCTGACCCCAGGATGCCTGGCTCCAGTTGTGGCTGAAAGCTACCAATTCATATAAAATCATTTTTTCTTTTTTTAAATAGCAATATCTTAATTCTGAAATCCCCATTTCGAGGCCCGGCTGCAAAACCCGATGCTGACTCGCTGAGACCAGCCCACAGGTGAGGTCGGCACCTCCGCAGCACAGCTGGAGCCAGTGCTGTTGGCAGCCCACGGGCTCTGGGCAGTGACCTGCGGGGTGAAGGGAGGCAGGGCGACAGCCACGGAGCTGGGAGCACCTCCCAGAGGTCTCATCTGTCTGCAGCCACCCTCAGGAGGAAGCAGACGGGTTGGGAAATCGCGTGCAACTCGTATGTTGATAACGTCGCCTCCCCAAGTGGCATGAGATGAGCTGACAATGTCCGCCCCCGGTCGCCGCGGGGGTTTTTGGCAGCTCGGCAGGAGATGCCAGGTGTGCACTGCTTGCTCTTGGAGCCTGTAGTGCCAGCACTGCCCAAATGTTGTGGCATGAAGCAGGGCTTAGCCTGTCCCTCCTGCAGTGGCCAAGGAGGAAGGAGATTTGCACAAAGACCGGCCTGCCCGAGCTCCCCTTCCCTACCAAACGCTGCAAATGTGCCCAAACCGTTCCAATGCCACTCCTCCAATTTGACTAGAGACCAGCCTCTTCCTACCTGCACTCCTCACCTCCAGCCGAAGGGATCAGCCCTCCCTCTCCACGCCTCGTTAACTCCTCCTGTCTTACTCCTTCTCTCCTAGCTCTGACAGTGCACACAGCTTTACTAGATTATCTGTGCTGTATTTCACCATGGAGCAGTGCCATACAAGACATAATGACGCTGCATACGTTGCACCAAGACAGCAGCAGCTTTAAAGATCTGGTTCTGCAGATTTTCCAAGGGTGTCCTCTCCACCAGCCTCTCGGCATGGCCCAGGGGGGCTCTGGAGCTCACCCTGCCTGCTAGGAGACACAAAGGCCCCAGACCGTAGCTCACACTGAAGTCAAAGCAATGATTTGGCTCATTTCAGGCTTAACACAGCCCAAGTTCTGCGGAAAAGCTAGAGCCTCTGAGCTTGCCAGCTCAGTTTTCTGATGCGTGCTGAACTTCTCTTTCCTGGCGATACCGGTAACGTCTGAACTTTCAGCAAAGATGCGAGGCAGAGCATTAATCACAATGCAAATGAGCAGGGCATTTTCTGTTTTCAACAGTAAAAAAAGAAGTATTTGGGGAATGGCTGGGCCCCTCTTTCACACATCAGATGCACCATGCCATTTACTACGAATTCTAATTACAAACCGTCCTTCTTATAGCCAAAAATTTGTGTCTGTTTTGGGCATATTTCTTTCTTGATGGCCCCAGCACACTCTGCAAGGCACCTGCACTGCACGTCTCGCTTCCCCTTGCTGAAACATGAGGCTGATTTATTAACTGCAAAGAAACCATACAGGCAAGTACAGTTTTTACTAAAAACTCACGTGTGTTCTTATTCCTGGAGACAGCCCTAGAGCCCCGAGCAGCTCCGTGCCCCTATGCAAAGCAGCACTTTCGCTTCCTGCTCTTTCGCAGCCCACGCCTGGCTATTGATCAGAAGTTGCCACCACCTCTGACTACATCTCAGAGACCTCCACGAGGTGCCTGATGCCTTCAGCCCAAATGGGGGGGCTCAGCAGAGACAAATGAGGAGCAGTGCAGAGAAGCTTTAAGGAAGAAGGCGATTAAGAGGTGCCAAGCACCTCGGGCTCCTGCCAGCTGCTGCAGCACGCAGCACCAGGCAGGATCGAGCTATGCTACCTCCTCCCTCGTGGCGTTTGGGTCTTCCAGCATCAAGGTTTTCCACCTCCTGCTCTCTGCGAGGCCCCAGCACTGTGCTCCTGACACGTCACACCCGCCACCAGACTGCTGCAGACAGGAGTTGCCCTACAGGGACCAGTCAGCACTGCTTTGGGGAAAGAGGGGGGAATGGGGTGGTCCAATTTTGTTAATTCTGGTTTTCCTTTTCACAAAGATGGCAGTGGGCTCGTTGGGAGGATTTTTTTTTTTGTTTTTTACAATATTTTGTGGTATAGCAAAGTTTTTGCATCTCGGATTTTTTTTTTTTTAACTTTATCGTACCTTGAGTAGTAAGAAATAAAGATATCGAAAAAGAAAACAACATTTGCAAAACCACGTAATATTGTAAAACAAAAAAAGACGGGACTTACCTGAGCCCCTACAGGGCACTGGGGGCTGCAGCCGAGGTCTGTGGCGGGTGTGACATCGCCGGCACAGTGCGTGCCGCCGGGGCATCGCACAGAGAGGCGGCCGGCGAGCCTGGGCTTTGCCGAACTTGAAAAGGAAAACAAAAGCTAAGTCAATGACGTGCCGCAAGCCCCTTCCTAACCTGCTGCTGTGCGGGATGTCCAGCACTGGAGGCGGGCGGCGGTGGAGACCTGCGTCACGCTCGCAGCTCTCGGGCGTGCGAATGCGAACTGCGGTGCTGGAGCACAAAGAGCCTGGTCTGCACGCTTTAAGGAGCAAACTCTACGCCCTGAGCTTTCATTTCGGTCTCTCTCTGGTTTTCTTTCCCTTCCTCTATAACCACTCAATCTTCCCGAAGGTCTGCGGATGAGAAGTTCTGCACGCAAGGTCTGTTAGATGTAAACGAAGGCAGCTAATCCTCAGGGAAAAGGAAGCTCTGAGAAAGCACCAACTGGAAGGTCTGTCTGCCAGGCTCTACCGACTGTCACCTTCAAGTGAAGCATAAACGCTTCCAATATTCAACCAAAGAAAAGAGATGGGTCACAAAGCTGAATACACACAAACGCATCTATCAGCGCGATCCGTCCCAGGATGGGCAGCAACACCTGCTTTATCGCTGTGAGTTGTTTCAGGCCACTCTCCTTTATTCCTGGTTGGAAGCACGTTGTAGTTTTGTGTTTTCCAGGACGTTTCTACAGCAGAGCATGACTCGCGTTACGCCCCACACCAGCACCCAGAGCAGTGCCTGCAGAGCTCAGCCCAGCAGTGCCCCACTGATTTTGGAGCCCTGGGGCCACACATATCCACGTGCAGGACCAGGACCTCAGTTGTGCACTCCAAATCCACAAACCAGGCTAGGACTCAGTGTTTACAAGGCGATGCAGACGCGGTTTGGTTGTTTTTAAGCGTTCGATAGTCCCTCACCTTTTCTTTTTTTTTTTTCTTACCTCATCTTTTATATTAAATCGCGATGGTTCTTGTCTGCTTCGGTTTGACCTCCTAACCCCATAAACATCAGGATATTCTTCCCACATCTGCAAAATAAACAGACCATCAGAAGGCCTGCTTCACCCCAGGTATTTCTGACATTTCAGAGAGGTTTGATGGTCAAGGTTAAAAAAAAATCAACATAAAACCATTAGGGAGTTTTGCCAGCAGCAACCAGTAGAAGGACACTTGAGAAACCTGACTGAAACAGATCGTGATTATTCTGGGCTATTTAGTAAGACTTTAAAGGACGTGATTTATCTCAGCATTGTCATTATAGTGGTCCTTCTTTCCCACAAGATAAAAAACACTTTCCAATACGTTTAGGCTGAAGGACAGAGCATTGAGGCAGCCAGGCTCTGCAAGCAACAGGAGGCAACTCCTTGCAGGTGGAATGAACCTACCCACACAGAAGGATGAGTCACTCACAAACAGCCCTCCTGATTCCTTCCCGTAGAGAAAACCTCACCAGCTGCCTGAAGGGCCCAGTGGCAAGAAGCCCCCAGCAGCAACTTCACACGTGAAGCCTGCGACCCATCCCGGGTGGCAAAGGGACCAGACCACCCCGTTCTTCTCCTGAAGGCACCGATGCAAACGCCGTTTGGCAGCGCAGGACACATGGGTTACTGGGAATGGTTGTGCTCTATTTGCTGTAATCAGGCCCTGTAGCAGTGTAATAAGCTACGTACAAAAGCATGTGTTTGTTCTCTCTGGATAGACAGGAGGAGAAGGGGGAGAGCAGAACTGATGGGCTGATAGATTTAAATGTGCCTGTGTTGGTGGCAGAGAGTATCAGAAGCTTTACAGGGCAGATACAAATCCCTGCCATGCCTCCCAGACACCTACAACAGTCCCTCTGCCTTGTCCCTCAGCACAGTTTATCCTTTTATAGTTTCCTAAGCCTATTTACTGTCCTCCTGCTTCTCCTCCCTCCAGTCCTCAAGCATCTCTGCGAGCCACTGGCAGGAAAATGAAATCAAAATGGGCTGCCAGATGCAGCAGTGACTTGGGACTGATGAATGCGAGGCTGCAGTCTGGCACTTTCTCTGCTTCTCTTGAAGGAGTAATGGGCTGACACTGCAATGGCCAGATAGCTAAGGTGCTTATCTTTCAGGCATGAAAGCAGAGAGGGAGAGAGAAATTCAGAGGTGTTTTACTACCCCACATCAAAGAAAAATTCCAGATACTCCCCCAAACATTTGAAGAATCTGTCTTTTCATCTTTTAAATGGCACAGGTTTTGGACGGAGCACAGACTCCCATGACAAATCGGAATAGCAACTAACACAAATGAACCTCACCTTCATGGGCGTATCTAGACAGCAACACAATATAAACAATAATATAATTAATTGCATTGGTTATTCAAGGGGAACAGGCACCAACAAGCCTAGGTTAGCCCCAGCTGAGGAAAACGCCCATTAGCATCAGAATTAAGGGAGGGAGAGGCCTTCCTTATTAGAGGGTGCCCTGACCTTTCCGTGTTCCATCCACACCAATTATCCTCTTGCGTATGGATGCGCTCCCTCGTGGGGTAATTTTAATGTTTATTGTCAGGGCCGTGCTCTCAGCAGCCCGCAGAAGAAAAGGCAGCTTCCTTCAGTCCCCACTTACCAACAGCAACACAGAAAGGTGAAGGTTGTGTTACCACAGCTGCCTTACAAAGGCGTGCTGCCTTGCCAGTATGAACACGGGAGGTTTACCATGACCTGAGCAGGCAGCCCAGAGAGTGGCGAGAGGGAGGAGTGGGAGCACTGCAACCAAATCCCTCACCTCTGCCTCGCAGGTACGTGGGGAACAGGCTGACAGCACTGCCCTTCCTGCTCTTTACCTACATAGCAATTTTCTCTATTAAATCCCTCTCGTGAACGAGCAGCACAAGGTGCAAGCCACAGCTATGAAGAACAGGACAGTCACAGACCACAGCACAAAGTATCACTGACCTAACCTGACTTTCCTCCCTCCAACAAACTCAGTTCACCCAGTCCCTATCTCCAAAGGGGCATTTGGGCTTTTTTTCTCGCCCCACGCCCCAGTCCATTACTCGGGTGCCCCTTGGGTAACGCAGGCAGCCAAGGCACAGCTCCTGCTCTGGGGAGGTGCAGCACGAACCAGGGGCAAACTGCACACATCAGACACCTGCAAACCCTTTTCCTCCTGTGAACCAGAAGGCAAACCTGCTTATGCAGGGCAGGGATTGCTAGGGGAGCTGTGGAAAAAACACAGCTGTCCTGGACAGAACAAAGTTTGTTGTTTTTTTTTTTGTCCTCTTTTTCCTTCCCCTTTTTTTCCAAAGAGGTGGGCAGTGATGGAAACGAACCAAAGTGGCCCCAATCCTATATATTCTCCTGGCTGTGTCCCATGGGGAAGATTTACTGCTTCTTAAAGGGAGAAGAGACAGAAGAGAGGAGTGGAAGGATGGAGGGATAGGATGAAACGAGAGGGTCACTTATTGATGACAGGTGTTTGCCCCTTATTTGCTACCTGTCTAGTGCCCAAAGGGTTGTCACAGCAAGTGCACAAGCTCCTGCTCACCAGGATGACAGGGGGCCATGCACACACACCAAACAGCCATCAAGGGGCTTGGGGACACCAGAGGGGGGAGGCTGCTGGGGCAATGTGCAACTGAGGCTGGCCAAGTGTCAGGGAAGGCAAAGAGCTTGGTTAACATCCTGTGTCCTGCCCGTTGGTGGTGGGTACAGGGGTAACATGGCTCTGCAGAGCACCAGGGGCAATACCTTTTTAACATCTGCTATCCTTTCCTTCTTAGAGGCCGGTTTTTCTTTGGTTTCAGGAGGGGTCTGCTGGGATTTCGAACCCGTTGATTCACTTTCGGATTCAGACTGACTCTCAGAGGACTCCGAGCTGCTGTTTGACTCGCTGCCCTGCTCGCTGCCCTGCTCGCTGCCCTGCTCGCTCTCAGACTGGCTTGCAGAGTCAGAGCCAGAGGCTTCTTCGGATGCCGAGTGACTGATGGTAGAGAGAGAAGAGATTACATTTTAACTGTACTGTCACAGCTTCAAAATATGCAGCGAGCAAGCCTGAGCCCCATCCAAGCTACAACAGTAGGCTTGGAATAGCCTAAACACGAGTGTGAACTGCATGGCCAGCTGTTGGATGCCCAGGTGACAGTACGACTGCCAAACCAGTGACAAACCACTGCCCTGCTCAAAATCACCGGTCCTCCAGGGACGATCTGGCCTGCTCAGAGCAAGCAAGAGCAAATTCGGAGGCCACCAGGTAGCACTGCAGATGAGCAGTAGCGCTGGCGTGGCTCTCCTCCACAGCCTGGTAAGCCCAGGGGGCCAAAAATCCAACATCCAATTTCTGAGAGGCCAGCACCAAACATTGTATGCATTATGTTGTGTATTGGTAAACGTCACATTCCTTCAAAAAGAGTAAATTTAGCAGAAAAGAAGCGGAAAGGAGCTTTTACAGCATGTGGCTGTTTACAGGATTACACCAATGCTGTGGAGACTGCATTGCTCAGAGTACCCAGTAAGAGGAGAGCAGAACATTAAATAAGTGCCTTTTTCCTTTTGGTTTACATAAAAATGGGTTAATACACATAACATTCACTTAAATGCAGGCTCCTTAACAAAACAAACAAACAAAGAGGCCAAGCTTTTTCAGGTGGCCGTGAAACAATTTCTCAAACACTTTTGTCCAATCTCCCCCAAATCACTTTTTTTTTTTTTTAATTTAAAATCTAATTTAAGAAAATAGAAAATTCCTTACAATATATAACACACTTGCTGGTAAGGCAGTGTTACAGAAGCTAGAAGGCAGTGTGACAGTAATAAGACTGTAAACTTCTCAAACAAGGAGCATCTCTTTCCATCTCTTTCCAGCCCTTCTCTGCAGCTAAATACTTTCATTACGTTTAAGAGTTTGTTGCAAATATAACATCATGAAAAAAGAGGCAGAAAAACTTTGCAGAGGGAAAGTGGGTTTTTAATGCGTCTCCTTTTGTACAACTCCAGAAGTAACGAGATACACTGAAAGCTCTGCTTGGATTTCATGATTTAAAAATCAAAATCAAGGACAAAAAATTATATAGCATGAAGCACAGATATCATTCAATAAAGACGAAGCAGGCAGAAATCAACGTGTGCTTTAGAGGCATCACTAGACACAGCCAGTGAGTGTCCGTACACATCCATACACACATCCACGTGCAAACAGGACTCGTTCCCGGTGCAGAAAGAAGCTCCCCGCTGTCGGAGGGGAATGCTGAGAGCTGCTGGGAGATGCAGAGGCCTCCCTGCCGCCCCGGCAGAGCTGCGGCTGCTTTCTCTGACGGAGCGGGCAGAGGGCAGCAGCCGAGCGCGGCGGGAGCCTCCTGCAGGAATCCCTCCAGCACAGGGCACGCGGCCAAGCTCCCGGCCGCCATTTCACGGCCACCCCTCTTCCACCATCTTAGGGTTTCATCGCTCCGCTGGCTGTTTGCTCTGGTTCAGCTTGCGTGGCCTGGAGTGGAAGAGCTCAGTGTTTGCAGAAAGGGGAGGGGAAGGAAAATAAAAAAAAAAAAAAAGGAGCTGTGGGCAAAAATGTCCAAAGGGAGAGAGAAACGGAGACTTTCCAGCAGAGACGAGGATGAATTGTCACTGATGATCGCTGGTTTCGTTGTCCCGGTTTGGTTTTGACAGGGATGTGGGTGTCGCATCGCTCCCTTCCAGCAGGATGGGACCTTCGAGCAGGTCCACAAGCAGCCACCACAGCCCCGTGACACTCAGCTCCCATCCTTCCCTCAACATTTGCCTCACCATTTGCCCCTGCCCACTGCCAGGGCCTCACAGCTCCCCGCCTGCCCTCCCACAGCTCACCCTGGCCCCCACAAACGGAGCCACAAATCTCCCAACATCTGCTCAGCCGCAGCCCTGGAACGCGGTCTGCTTCCAAGAAGTGTTGAAACCTCTTCACTGGAAATTTTTTGAAGATACAGCGTTGTTTTTTTTTTCAAGAAAAGCGAGGGATTTTTGTTAGGAAACATCACCACAGCATTCAAGGAAACAATACGCCAGGGACAGGCGGTTTCCACGGGCAGGGCTCAGCAGGACATGTCCCACAGAGCCCTGACCTCCTCAGAGGGTGCCTAGAGGCGGCCAAACCTCTGATGCCACGGCACCGAGAGGCAACATCAGGCTCGGGACAAATTAAGTTGGCATCCCATGTCCCATGGGGACACGGGAAAGAGGAAAATACTTTTCTTCAGTCGCATTTATGGGCAAGAGCTGGAAGGAATTACAACAGGGCCTCAGCAGTACTTGTGTGAAGGCAGAGCAGTGAGCGCCGGCCTCTGGAGCAACTTCTTTCTCAAGGCCCTAAGCTCTATGACAAAGATACAGGGACAGCCGTTGTACACATGCCTAGCCATTGTTCCTGCGTGCTAGCCACGTTATCTGGACACTATCATTTTTCTCTTGATGGGAACAGAGCTGTCTGCCAAGAGGAAGGCACAGATGAGGTACACAGCTGGTGCCCAGGTACGCACGTGCCTGCCCTAGTGCAGATGAGAAACGCCATTTCCTGTTCAAGGCTGTTGCAAATAATTTTTAAAAAGACTTTGAAATCCCTTTATCAAGGCAAAAGGATACATAAAAGCCAACTCCGTAAAACAATCCTTGCTAAATACCACCAACACAATCAGGAGGTGCTTCCACCTGCCAGTAAGGTGTAAGGGCTTAGCAACGTGACGTGCCAAGGCAGGCCTTGCCATTGTGCATAGCTGGAGATTTATACCTCTTTTCACACACCAGTTTCGGGATATGCCCTGCTTTAACATCCCTGAGTTAACATCCAAAAGAGGCCTACTCACAATTAAACTATAACTGGGGGATAAGCTATAATTAATTGTGTCAAAATCCCTCTTCAGGCAGCCCAACACCCTTCCAATTCAGTAGAGAAAAACACCCATGAACATCAAAACTACAGCTGGATCGTTGGGAACTCCCTTAAAGCGAGAAACTCCCATAAAAACTGCGATCTGCTAATGCTCAGCAAAACATGCTCCCATGGCTTCCAGGAACTACTTTAGGCTATAATTCTGTTTTAATTAAGAATCTGCTCCTGATTTGATGGAGGGGGAAAAAAAAAAAAAAAAAGTCATCCCTTACCAAGGACACATTCCTTCCGAGAAATAAGTAGCTGAACGGCAATGATAAGACCTTTTACAATCAGGCATCTAAGTTTACAAGGCAATTACAGCATGTCTCAAGCCTCCCATGTTAACGTTTAATATTTCACATCTGAGCACCATGACTTCATTTTACAGGGGATCATCTTTGCTAACAGCAACAAGACATTTTATAAGCTCTCAAGGAGGACAAACAGGGGATGCTTTCAGATGGTGCAAGGCAAGCTGACGTCCCTCAGCAGTGACCCAGCACGTTTCTGGAGTCAACAGCTGCCACGGGAAGGGCTCTCACTGGCACCATTCTGCCCTGACTTCAAAATTGAGCTCTCGACGGACAGAGCTTGAATTCAGCGAGGGGCAGAAAGGAGGATTAATGGCTGCAGATCCTCCCACAAGGCGAGCCCCTCCTAACTTTAAGAATCGGTACGGCCGCGCCACTTCACCGGTTTGATTCTAAACAAGTTTGAATCCAAACAGCAAAGTTCCGCTGGGCTTTGCTCTGCGAGCTGAGCAGGACCTCAGCACAGGCCAAATAACCCCAGCGCAGGCTCAAAATGGTCTTTGGCACGGGCTCCCAGAGCCGGATAACATCAGAAGCAAAGTTTATCGTTCCTTGCAGGCAAACATACGCTTAACCCTGGGGCTGAGCGAAGCTTCACATGCCCAAAAAACAGCAGAGGCCCAGCTCCATGTCAGCTCGCTGCCACCAACGCAGGGACCCGGGGGCACCCGCTCCCCTCTCCCACCCCACACCCTGCAGCCCATGTCCCCACTCACCTTGTGCCTGGGCGAGCACAAACCAGGGCACCGGGCGCCTCCATGATCCACTTGATCTTAGCAGCACACAAGAGGACAAGCCCAGAAAACAATAAATGCAGTCTGTGTCGGCTTGGTGAGTAAAGGCAGAACCAAGCCCTTACAGACCAGTGGCACTACACCGTGCTTGGTAGCACCAAGGAGGAAGGGGCCAGCGAGACCCCGGTTTTGGGCAGGAATGAGCCAGATGCGCAGTTTGGCTACGCCTGGCTCCTCACCACCTTCCTCCGGCAGAGCCGAGCGGTGCTGCTCCAGCTCCGTGGCAACCCCTGCTGCCAACACGGCGGCCGTTGGGGTCGCGTTCTGGAACCCCGGGTCAGCCCACCTCTGCGGGTGAGCCCACCAGCACTGCTGCTGCATGACCTAGTGATGGAGCTGGCCCCGAAGCCTGCAGGATGTCTTCTGCAGAGCAGGCACATCCATCAGGTCCAGTGTTACCACTAGGAGAGGTTTCTCACCCCCTGTAGGTCTTCAGTGAGGGCTGCCAGTATCGCCTGCCCACCAGTGGTACCCTGTCATGGAAGTGACCCTGGATTTACTCCAAAGCACACAGCAGCAAAGACCATGCATGCCACTGACTCAAAACTGTTTAAACAGGTGTGTAGGTCACTTTCGGAAGACACACAAGTGGTTCTGAGGGCAAAGGGACATGATAAGTCGTAGAGGATGCACTGACTGAACTGGATGCCGTGTTGCTGTGTTCTTTTTAACGCTTCCCCTGAACATTTGATCTATAAATATGATGTTCCCTGTTATATACAAACATATACACTACGCCTACGGACCCTGAAAATAAAAAACAAGCATCATCCGTTAACGCTGATGTGTGCATCCAAGACACACAGTAGCTGTAAAAAAATACATATATCGAACCGTGTTGATCTCACCTCTAGCCCTGGAGAGCAACACAAGACTGACGGTGGCTGCAAGTCACTTGATGAAAGTGATAAAGGATAAGGGATAAAGCATGCACCACAGGAAAGAAATGATCTCCTTGGGATCCGTCTCTTGTCTTGGG